CTCACTCTGACAGCAGGTCAGGAAGTGCCCGGGACCCAGTCAGCAGCACCTGAAGCCAGTGGATGGGTCCCCATGTGCAGGACAATCCAGGGTAAAGGGTTGCCCCCTGAGCAAAGGAGAAGGCGGAGCCCATGCCACGCCGCGAGGGTGCACAGGGTCCTGCCTTCACATCTGCGTCCGCCTGTGCCCATGAGTGTGGGTGGGTGGCCGAGTACACTGGGGGCAGGTGCACTCCCTGCAGCCACTAGTGAGCACAGGGGCCGGGGATCCGCGATCTGTCCTGGCAGCCGGCATGAGGTGCTTCCTTCTGGCAAGATTCAGAGAGGATCAAAGTGGCGGGCGGAGGTCTTACGGGGAGCAGGGCGCCGGCCAGGCTCAGCGCGGCTCTCCTCAAGACGAGGTTTGTCTTAAAGATGGGGCTTCACAATGGCGGCATCTGGGCCTCCTTAGCCGCGTGGCCGGACACCAACAGGGCCTCCCCATCTGACGCAGGAGAAGGACACAGCGTCCCCTCTACGGTGTCCCTGGCCAGCACACCCAATCTGACTCTCATCATGAAGAACTTTGGACAACCCGTGGAGGCCGCTCTGCAAGCATCTGCCATTAATCTAGAAAGAATGTCAACAGCAGAAAGGGGGGATGGGCTTACTCCAGATTCAAGGACATCAGAGGGACGTGGAACGGCATGTGGCGTGGCTCGAGGTCTCCCCCTGCCATGAGGACATTGGGGGATGGGGGTGGCACCGAGCCAGGCCTGCGCGCCTCAGCAGGGGCTTTCTGAGTTGTCCCCTCAGTGCGAGGAGGTCCTCTCCCCAGGAGCACACACCCAGGGACAAGGACAAAAGGTCTCCAGGCTCTGCACGTCACAGAGACACTGAAGGGAGATTGTGACCAAGGGGTAGGATGCAAAGCTCATCTCTGGGGAATCGGAAAGGCACGTGGGGTCCCCATTGCTGTCCTCACGACTCGGAAGTCACGTCAAATCGGACAGTTAGGAAACAGAGTGTCTGCAGGGGACTCAAAAGCCACAAGCGCCTCTGTCCCTGCCCTTCCGCTGTGGCCGCCTTCCCCAAGGGAGACGCCGGGACGGAGAGGGCTGAAGCCGGGAGCCAAGGAGACCGTGAGAGAGCACAAAGCCGTGGGCCCAGGTCACAACAGCGGTAGGACGGGTGACAATGGCATGGTGACCTGCGGCCCCACAACTGTGTCACCTGGTCTGACGGCACGGCACCCTCTGACGTGGCTGCTAGGATCGCCCCCACGTAGTAGTGAGGAAACCGGGGCCCACTGGACACAGGCTGGCCACCTGTCTGAGGGCCAGAGACCTCAATAGAGGAGGGAGGGTCTGCACAGGGCCGCGTCTCCGGGGTCCTCTCTGGGCCTCCAAGGAATATTTATGAGGAAGAATTTGGGGTTTCAGACCTCGGGGGGCTGGAAATGGAGCGAGAGCTGGAACAGGCCCAGGCCCAGGGTGTGCCAGCCCAGGGAGAGCAGCCGCGGGCCCAGGAGGAGGGTGGCCAGGCCACCACTGCTGGCCCCAGGGACGTGCGCGCCTCTCTCCTTGGGCGGGAACGTGTCCCACACGCAATGTCCTCCTAAAGCCTAGAATGTGACCTCATTCTGGAAGCAGGGTCTTGGCCATGTGACTGGCTAAGGTTCTTGGGGTGAGATGATCCTGGGATTTAGGGCGGTCAGTCCCAACTCCACCGACGTGTCCTGATAAGAAGGGAAATGACAGCCGGCCCGGGAGAGAGGGCCCGGCGGAGACGGGAGCAGAGGCCGAAGAGGCAGGAAGGGCCTCCCCAGAGCCCCAGGGTGGACGCCCCCACCCCACCTTGGTTTTGGCCCCCTGGCCTCCAGAACAGTGAGAGGGACACTTCCTGTTGTCTCAGGCCACCAGATTCATGGTCACTTGTCCCAGTAGCCCTGAGAATTGAGACCCTGCCATAGGTTCTCGGGTAAACCACCCTGGGCCCACCCAGGGCCCTTCCTCACCTTGAGCCCCTTGGGTGGGAGCCGCGTCCCCCGGCAGGGACACTCCCCCCCCGCCCCCCCAAGCTCCCTTGCATCTAGGAGCAGCCGAGGGGCCACTCTGACCACAGGGGGCCAGGGCAAATTACTGGCCGAGACTTTTAGAAAAACTGTGGCTCTGCGTTTTCCCCAAAGTTTTAGCCTCGGGGGTTCTGCGTCCAGTGATGGCCAAGTGGCCTCCGTCAGACCAGCCTCTGCTCGAGACGGAAAAGGCAGCCCACCTACGGTCCCTGAGAGCAACTCGGCAGGCAGAAACGGGGGTGTCAACCCTGAGAAGGGGCGACACCCTGAGTCCCCAGTTGGTGCCAGGGGGTGGGCTAAGTGTCCATCAGAGCCCGTGGTCCCAAGGTCCAGGTCACAGCAGTGAGGCTGCGGAAGGAGAGGACATGGCCTACGGTTTGGGTGAGCATCCCCCAGAGGCCTACATGTGGGGGCTCAGTCCCCAGCCGAGGTTCCACTCAGGTGGTGGGGACTTCAGCAGGTGGGGCCTGGGGAAGGGAGCCCGGCCATCAGGGCTGTTCCCTGAAGGGGACACTGGGCCCCAGCCCTTCCCCTCTGGTTTTGCTTCCCACCTCCATGAGTCCCAGCCTTCCTGTGTCCTTCCAACATGACATTCTGCCTCACCACGGGCTCGAGCAATGGGACCAACCAACGTGGCCTGAAACCTCCAAAGATCTGAGCCAAAATGAACTTTTCGTCTTCATGAGTGGGTTATCTCAGGTCCTTTGTCACAGTGGTGCAAAACTGACGGACACTTAGAAACCGAGGCACCCGTGGGCCAGCCCCGCCCACAGCCCTGGCTGACCCCTGGGCCGGAGGGCAGGCGGGCTCCACGTGGGCCAGCCAGGTGACAGATAGCATAGGGGCTGTAGCAGCGGCCGCTGCCGTGGAACAGGATTTGGGCTTGGACCCAGCCCACTCAGTTTCCTGCTGAAGCAGAACCACAGCGAGTCTCAAACGCAGACTCGCCCCGTCCAAGAGGCCCCCCGAGCACCACCCGCCACCTGCGTACTGAGGGCCAGCTGCCTCCCGCTCCACAGCAACGTCATTGTGGGGAGGGACCTGAGCTGGTTATTAGTGGGGTCCTTAAGAAGTTTGCTGCCACTGCTCAAGAGAAAGGGCCACCAGACCCCGGAGGACCCAGAGACAGAATCAGCTGATGGGGCTCTATACCGAGGGCGTCGGGAGGTGTCTTCCAAAGAGGTTGTTGTAAAAATTGGAAATGTTATGGAGAAAATGGACCAAACAGGAATCCTGGAGCGCAGAGAGGGACGGAGAGACGGACGGAGTTCAGCAGCCGCCTCTGGCCCCTCACCAGGTGCCCCTTCCTGACTGGCCGGAGGCGCAGCGTGGGGCGGAGCCTGGAGGCTGGGACTCGGCACTGCCCCGGGCTGCCCTGACCCCACGGTGGCTGCTGTCACCTGCTGACAGTGCGCTCCGGACTGCCACTTTGACACACACTTGAATTTGCCTCCAGGAAACAGCAAGTCACCAAAAGACGTGAGATGCCACACTCAGTGCCAGGTGGTGCCAGGTGCTTTCCTGAGTCAGGCTGTGGGGACACTGCTGGGGCTGGTGACGGGGGTGGGGGATCTCCTTCAGAGCTTGGCTCTCCCTGGTGTGGTGGACTGAAGGCAGGCCAGTGGGTGCCAGCGAGGTGCAGTGCCCCTGGAGCCGGGCTGGGCATGAGGGCCATGAGCCTGGTTTGGGAGAGGACGCTGCCAGTCCGCGGTGAAGGGAAGAGGAATGTCACTAATATTTCACAACCCAGGCCCTTGGCCACCAAATGTGTTTTTAAGTGCCTGAGAGACTTCTGAAGCCCCCAGGCAGTCCAGGGCAGGCTTGGGGCAGGAGAGGGAGGGCAGACGTTCAAAACCCAACCACCACCCAGGAAGGGGCGGGTCTGGGAGCCCTCCGCAGCCTCCGAGGGCGTGGGGGCTTGTCCCCAGAGGGACGCTGCCATGGTACCTGAGAATCTGCACCTGTGGCCAGGCCCAGGGAGGCTGCCCGGGGCCACAGGAGACCTCTGCAGGGCTGAGCCGAGTGTCCTCTGCAGCCCGGGCTCCTGGCCAGTGAGAACAGTGGGGTCCCAGTGCCAGGCCTTGCACACATGGCTCAGTAACTCGCGCCCTCCTGCAGGGACCCTCCACCCCGGGAGGAGCTCTCCCCAAAGGCACCCCTGCTGGTAAGAGGCAGAGGTGACCAGGGACGCCCAGGCCTGGCTCCCTGTCCCTGAATCACCTTGGAGGGCCCTCTGCTGGTGGGTGTCGCCCAGGTGCAGTGGCACTCAGCCCTAAGAGGAATTCCATCACCTCCTCCTGGGACACCTGGACAGTTCTCAGGGCTGAAGGTCCTGGGGCAGGACGCCCCTCCCAGAGGCAGGAGGCAGGCGGGGGCCGTTTCTGGGCTGTGAAGAAGGTCTCTGTCTTGGGCAGATCATGTTCTCTCCAAATGTCCCCTGTGACTGCCCCGGCCCCCAAGGTGACTGCATCTGGATGGGCCTTTAAGGAGCAGTTAGGGTTCAATGGGTCCTAGGGTGGGAAAAGAGAGGGAGACCCGGGCATGTGCGCTGAGGAAAGGCCTCGGAGGACAGAGAAGGTGGCCACCTGCAAACCCAGGCCTGGCGACACCATGACCTTCGGCCTCCAGGACGGTGAAGACGAGCTGTGATGTTCAAGTCCCCCCAGGCGGTGGAATGTGGGGAGATGAGACCACAGGAACGAGAGCCCGTCCACTGGGACCTGGGGCTGCAGCACCGGCACCTCCAGGAGCCTCTGGGAGGCAGCCGCAGGCCCTGCCCAGAGTCTGCGCTTTGGCTGACCGCAGTCCAGAGGGGTCTCGGCCGGGCTCGGGGACAGAAGAGCGGCTGGGCACAGCCCCCAGGAACTGGCGCACCTGGAGGGTGGAGGGCTGCAGGGGTGGCGGGCGTCTATTGCTCAGACTCGTCCCTAAAGTGGGACACAGGTGACTTAGAAATCAAACCAATTTTATTGAAATAACAGCAACGACACAGTGGCCCGTGTTCACGCAAAGCACAGAAAACATTCACAATGAACTTTTGTACACAGGAAGTAGTAAAATACATCGTTTTTCATAGAAAAAAGCACACACGTCAACTGCGGGCTGCGTGAGCCTACAGATAATAGGGGGCCCGCTGCCCTCGGAGCACAGGGGGCGAGAGTCTGAAGCGAGTGCAGACGTTTGTGGGGCAGGAGGCCCAGCGATGCCCCGGCTGGGCACCATCTTCCGGACACAGCTGTGCTGAAGGCACTGGCACTGCTGACCGCAGGTAGAGGTGGTCCCCGAACACAGGGGCTTATCCTTGGTGTCTTATTCCCATTTTCTGGGGGAAAAAATGGTTCCAGTTTCAAAATGGTCCTGGGGAAGAAGATGGCCAGGTGTGGCCCTGGGAGGACACTCCTCCGGTTGGAGGCTGGCCAGGAGGCAGGAGGGGTCCAGGGCTGTGGGGCCAATCACACTGGAAGCCTCCACTCCCGTGGGTGAACACCCCAGAAGCAAACCACCGGGTCCCCCCGGGAGTGTCCACCGATTCCAAGACCCAGCAAGCGATCCGACTGTCCCTGCAGCGGTGACCTCGCCACAGCCAGCGGGCAGGGCGCACTTTGCATCGAGAGGTCCCCAGGCGCCAGGTGGGATCTAGACTTACTACCCAACAGGCTGACAACCCCCTCCCTGCACCACGTGGGGAGAGGGAGACACGGGCCAGGTGCCGTGCGTCAGGCCACGAGTGCGACTGCTCTCACAGACCCCTGAAGGTGTCCCAATCCTTTAACCTTCAGTTTCCGCATTAATTAGGAAACAGGAAAGGCGCCCGGGGTCCCCAGGCAGAGCTATTTTATTTTTAAACGTTCTGCTCGTCATTTTGCCTAGGACATATTTTGATGGAGAGCGGAGTCAAATTTGCAACCAGGGCTCACAAAAGTAGGCGCCGGCCGGCCCACTGCAGGGGGTGGGATTTTACCTTCTACTGAGAAACGCTATTTACGGGGATTTCGTTTCACCGAGGGTTGCTGGCCTGGTTTAGGAAGACCTTTTACAAGTGATGGACGCCCGCGCACCACACGCCCGGGAGCCTGGGGACCTCTGGCAGGACACGCCCCACAAACAGGAAAGGAGGCACCTCTGGGCCCTGCCGTCCCTCTGCTGTCCACGGCCGGATGGGGTCGCGGCCACAAGCAGAGCCGCTAACTCGGTGAGGAATGTGCCCAGGAATCCGTTCCTCCTGCTGCTGACCTATTTTTTAATAGGTCAGTGAAGATGGGGGCCGGCACGTCGCACGGTCATTTAAGAAGTGGCACCCAGCCTGGAGTTCAGAGGAGTGGCCCCGCGGGACTGCCTGCCAGCGAGAGCCCCGAGGCCAGCCAGGGGCGGTAGAGGCGCGGGCAGAGGGGAGGGGGGGGTCCTGGTCATCAGTCCTCAACGAGACCAAAGGTCACAGCGGAAAACAGACGGGCCACAGGGACGAAGCAGTGAGGACACAAACCTCTGGGCCCTGAGGTCTAAGGCACCAGCACTGCTGGGCACTCGGTCCCCAGGACTGCGGGCCGCGGGCGCCTCCAGGGCCAGCAGCAGGCTCCCGCCTGCCCAGCGCACTTGTCTGACCAGCAAACACTAAGCCCACTTTCCTCCATGTTAGGGACGGACTGTGCTTTTTTATTTTTAAATAACTACTTTATACCCCGTTTCCCAGACTCCCTGCGCCTGCTCCCTGACCGCCCCACGCCCCCAACCTCCATCTCCAGCTCTGGACCCTCTGTCTCTCTAGAGCTCAGGGTCCTCCCCTCCACCCACAGAGGAACGTGACCAGAGCACCTTGGCACTGTCCCCTGGAGGGGGAGAGGCCCCAGGCCTAACTGCTGAGCAAACAGCCCCGGGAGGCCTTGCTCCAGAGGAGGGGTCCCACCCTGGCCAAGGCCACGGAGGGCGGGGCCCTGAACGCCATCCACAGACGCTGCCTGGCTCTCTGCACTCCCACCCCACCCGACCCCAGACGACAAAGTCAAAACCAAAGCAAAACCGCGAAGCCCTGCTGCAGACGCCCGTGTCCCCGTGGTGAGAGGTCACTGCCTGACGGCAAAGATCCGGAAAGCCTTCCCGTCCCCGGGCGAGCTCAGGCTGAAAGAGAAGGGAGAGGGTGTTACTGAGGGAGCGGGCGGCAGGAGAGCCATGGGCTCCGCAGAGCAGCCCCACAGAGGGACGAGCAACTAGGGACAGCCCCGCAGCCCGGATGAGTCAGGGACCTGGCAGGCCCCGCTTCCTGTGCAGATGAGCCCAGTCTGAATCTAGGTCAGGGCTGGTAAGTGCTTCAGCCCAACTCGGGATCCTTCTGGCCCAGCCTGCTGGGCGGGGCTCACCCCAGGACCCCGCTTGGTGTCTGCCACACCTTCCACCAGATCACGGCCACCTGAAGGACAGGCTCTTAGGATGGTACCAGGTTCTGGAACAGGGTCCCACGGGGGCCTCAGCCTAGTCACCTCCTTCCCCCTGGGTAGGCTGTCCTCCAAGGAGGACTCCAAGGAGGAGACCCAGGCACCAAGAAACCCTGCGGCCAGGCCAAGGTCACACGGCCATGCCCAGGTCACACGGCCAGGCCAAGCTCTCTTGGCAGAGTCGCGCCCTGCAGCCAGCCCGACCTCCTCACCAGCTTATGCTGTGAGGGGCGCGAGTCACCAGTCTCCAAAGGCCGAACAGGGTCGTGCACTCCTCTGACCGTCAAGTCAGACCGTTTCAGTCACCCCAGAGAGCCTGAGTGCCTGTCCCACCCACCCGCTGCCCCCACGTGACTGTTCTGCTGGGTCGTTAATGGAGCCACACAGGGGTCCTTTGGCCTCTGCTTCTGTCTCACAGCGTGACGCTCCTGGGCTGCTCCCCGCTGCAGCAGGACCAGAACTCCCTCCTTTTCATGGCCAAGAAGGACTCCATCAGGGTGGGCCACAGCTCATGGCCCGTTCCTCAGCTGGTGGACGTTTGGATTTTTTTTTTTCTTTTGTGCCAGAGATTGAACCAGGGGTGCGTTATGCAGATATGCTCAGTGGAGCCACAACTCCAGCTGCTGTTATTCTTTATTTAGAGACAGGGTCTCACTAAGCTTCTTAGGGCCTCACTAAATTGCCGAGGCTGGCTTTGAACTTGCGATCCTCCTGCCTCAGCCTCCTGAGGCACTGGGATTACAGGCGTGGCCACTGCGCCTGGCTGGACATTGCATTTGTTCCACTTTCCGGCTGCTATGAATAGTGTGGTGGGGAACGTGTGTGAGCGTCTAGGAGGACGGCCGTCCTCCTCTCTCCGGGGACACACTGATGCCGAGTGCACAGTCGGTGCTTTACAAATCTGAGTGGCATGTGAAGCAGCTGCACCAGGTGCGTCCCCACCTCTCTGGCTGCTGTCTATCTCGTGGCCATGCCAGTGGCTGTGCGGTGGCCTCTTGGTGGTCTGGATTTGCATTTTCCTAACCACATTTCCAGGTGCTTATCAGCCACAGTGTGCCTCCCCTGGCAAAACCTCTGTTCAGCGGTTTCTTGTTCTTCCTGGGGAGTTGTTAGATTTCACACACAATCACATGTGCACGCACACACGCACACGCACACGCATGCACACACACGCACACGCACACAGAAGACCCTCATCAGACACAACTGGCAAGAACGCCCCCCTCCGTGTCCTGCCTGTGGTGCTCTTGGTGCCCGTTTAAGAGGTGCAGAGCCCCACCCGTGCTGAGGTCCACTCTGTCAACCTTTGTCAACCTTTTAACTTGCAGATGATGCATTTGGCACTGGACCTCAGAGGTCACTGCTGTTTCCAGACCACGGGGAGGTGGGCTCGCTTTCTCCTAAGAGTCTTCCAGCCCCTGCCGTGGCCCTTCCCTGGAGCCATTTTGAGTTGGTTTTCACGGTGGGAAGTGGGTCTGGCTTTGTGGTTCTGCCGGACAGTGCAGCTGGGAGCCCTTCCCAATCACGATTACGATGGAGCAGAAGCCGGGTGCGGTGGTGCAGCCTGTAATCCCAGCAGCTTGGGAGGCTGAGGCAGGAGGATCGAGTTCAAAGCCAGCCTCAGCAAAAAGCAAGGCGCTCAGCGACTCAGTGAGACCCTGTGTCTAAATAAAATCCAGAATAGGGCTGGGATGTGGCTCAGTGGTCTAGGGCCCTGGGTTCAATCCCTGGTACCTGTCCCCCAAAAAAGATGGAGCAGAATCGTCCTGCCAGCACCTTCTCCTGTGTGAATAGACCCTGCAGTGCATTGCTCTGGTTTTAAAGGGACAAAGGCGACCCCTCCTCCTCCCCAGAAGCCTCCGATGGACAGTTACGTTCTCCTCACCTTCTCCCAGGATCCTGCGTGCCTGCCACAAGCCACAAGCCACACAGAAACCCTGTTCTGCGCTGGCTCGTGCCACCTCCCTGTGCGTGGAGACCCTCCCCAGGCTGCTGGCTCTGGGGCGCTCGGCCTGGACCCTGTCGGCGGGTGTTCAGTTCTTGCTCATCACTTGGCAGTCCAGGCCTCCTGACCAGGTACTTTCCTATCTGTATGCGTGTCCCAAGGACAAGCTCCTAGCAGAGGCCGGCTGGGTCAGCGCAGGGGGACCCTTGTGACCTGCACAGCTACCAAACCGCTCCCCACAGAGGCCACAGGGCTGACAGCTCCCGGGCGGGCCTGTGAGGCACCTCTTCTGCCTGCGGACGTGCCAGCCCAGACACTGCCCAGCTCTGTCCTCTGCCAGTCCAAGGTCAGCAAGGACATCCGGTTTGGACCTGCACTTTGCCAGGCAGTAACTGAATCTGAGCAGGCGATGAGCACCAGCCTGACTTATGAGCACTGCTCCCTTCAGGGCCGGACAGGCCTCAGCTGCTGGACTCCATCCACAGTGTTCAGGGCTCGGGGAGGCCTCGGGCAGCCGGGTCCTGGGGGAGCCGGGTCCTCGGGGAGCCGGGTCCTGGGGACCAGTGCTGGAGGGCCTGGCTGGTTTTCTGCCTTCCCCGGGCAGCGTCCCGCTCTTGGCTACCCTGGGACTGAACCTTGGAAACGTGGGTCAGATGGCCGTGCTCGGCAGGAGGGCCGAGAGCCCGGACGCAGCAGGACGTGCAGCCACAGGGGCCTCCAGGGCCCGCAGCTCCCCTGGGCAGGGGGGTGAATCCCAGATTTCACGGCCTTCCTCAGGTTCTGGGCTTCTCCGTCCAACGAAGGGTCCAGGAGAACTAGCAGAGCCACGAGCTGTCCAGCTGCCCCGCCTGCAGGTGGACCCCGCGGGGAAAACTGCCAGGGTCAGGTCCTCCCGACTCGGGGGGCCGGGAGTCATGGGAACAGGCGGCTCTTGTCAGCGCCCTGAACCACCCTGACGAGGGGCCACGCAGGCGCCGTCCAGATGAGCGGCTGCCAGCCCAGGGCCGGACACCTGGCCTGGACCCACCTGGCTCCCCGTTAGATGCCCGTCCACCCTGGAGGAGGAGTAGGGGGCAGTGTGCCGCCACCACTGCCCCAGCAAGGAATCCCCTGGCCTGGGCGGCAGGAGGAAGCCCTGGGCCCGCTGTTCAGGCCCACTCCTGTGAGGCTCCGGGGATGGCCGCCAGCGTGATGGCTTGCTGGTCTGGTAAATCACAACCCTGCAGCCTGCCCGCCAAGTCTGGCCACCCGGATGTTTGGGGCTGCCTTCCAGCGCCCGCCCGGCATGTCTGGGGGAAGGGAAACGGCCACAGCCCCTTTTCACGTGAGGAGACTGAACGACTTTCTTAGGAGCCACCAACAGTTTTTGATACAGGAGTTGAAATTCCTTCAACCCATTCTGAACTCAGCAACTCGCCATCATTCACCAGCGTTTACTGAGAACCTACTATGGGCCAGGTGCTGAGCTCAGTGCTGGGGAAGTGGGGTCGACAGGACTGATGGGTTCTTGCTTCATGGAGCCCACAGTCTGGGGAGGGGAGAAAAGCAGTAAATACAGTAAGAAATAATTCCAGAGAGAGGTGACCCTGGGGGGGAAACGGCACAGATCAGCTCAGGGAGGAGGGAGACTTCAGTAGGAAGACGCGGTCAGGAGGAAGCTTCCCAGGACAGTGACGTTGGGGCTTAGAGCCACAAGACCAGGGGATCTAGCCACAAGCTCATACAGGAATTGAGGGGGCCCAGAATTGGATTACAGCAGATGCAAAGGCCCGGGGGCAGGAATGGTTCAGTGTGTTCCCAGAGTAAAGGGAGGGCCAGCTGGAGGAGCAGAGACCGGGTACCCCCGAGATGTGGGCAGGGCCGGGGCAGCTGGGACCCCATGTGGCAGGGGTGGGCTTCATTCCCATGCAGTGGAAAGCCACTGAGGAGCGGTCACGCTGCAGAGGTGCACGCGACATCAGGAGGCGCTTGGTGGCCGTGGTCATTCTGTGGTGGGAAGTCTGCCAGGAGAGCGCAGGAAGTGCTCACGCTTGTGCAAAGATGTTCTTTCCGGTTTGTTCATCACAACAAAGAAAGACAAACCACCACGTCACCACGTCGGTGAGCAAGGACACACAGAGTGGTTTGTGCACGGGTCACTGTGTCACCGAGGAGACCGCAGGACAGTGCACCGGGCTTGGAAAGCCACCTTCGCTCTCAGCGGCCACTCCAAGGGCGTGACCCCTTCTTGGAACAAGTCTTGTATGTGAACAAAACATCACACGGTCACGGTGGCTGTGCTGGGTGTGGGCTGTCAGTCCCGTCTCAGGAGTGGCGGGGGAGGAGGATGAGGGTCGTGACGGCCAGGGCCAGGGGTGGAAGCCAGGGGCCCTGTGAGAGAGCAGCCTGGACACTGGCTTCCTGCCCGCAGCGTTCTCGATCCTAACCAGGGAAGAGCTGGCCACCAGGGACCCGGGACATAGAGGAGGACAGCAGGCTCAGAGTGGCGCAGCCTGTGAAGGACGGGTCAGGAGTGTCCTGGAGGTGGCCGCTGCCTATGGCCAGTGTCAAAAGGACAGCAGAAGGGGCACACCTGGCTTCCTAGAGGGCAAAGTCCCTCTCATTCTTAAGGAACAGGCCGGACATGTCTATAGGCACAGACACGTGCCTCCGCCCGCACACCGTGTGTGAGCACGTGGACTCTTCCTTCCTTTAAAGGATCCCAGTCTCTGAGAGCCTCGGACCTCTGCTGAGGGGAGAGCAAGTCGGCGGGACGGGCGCGGACCCCGCTGGCGGGGCCTGGTGCTCCAACAGTTCCCGAAGGTGCTCCCTCCTCGGGACGTGAGCAGAGCCAGCTTCTCCAGAGGCAGCGAGGACAGGGCATGCAGCAGGTGCTCAGCAGCCAAGAGCCACAGAGTCCCACGTCCCTGGGCCTGTGCTGTCCAGGTGAGGACAAGCCCGCACGTGGCGGGCACCCACGAATGATCCTGCGAGCCCCAGGCCCAGGGCTGCCGGCCTCCCAGCTGGCACTGACGCGCAGCCTGTTTAGAAGGAAGGAAGTTCAGCACCAGGTGCCTCACCCCAGCTCTGTTTTGGTTTCTATGTGTGCACTGCTCCAAACGCTCAGGGCAAGCTGTAAATGTGCAGTAGACGGACAGGGCACTGCGGGGCCTTCAGGGACCCTGGGTTTCTGTTCTCTAGCCTGACTGTTTAAATAACAGCACACGTTTCCTTCACAACAAAAAAACGTTTTGTAGTTGTAAATGGACGGAATGGCTTTATCTTATTTGTTTATCTTACGAGGTGCTGAGGATGGGACCCAGTGCCTCACGCATGCCAGGCTAGTGCTCTGCCACGGAGCTGCAGCCCAGCCCTACACAAGCATTTTTAAAGACAGAAGCACCTGCAGCAGCATCCAGTGCTCCTCCTGGGGAGGGTCTGAGCGGACGGAGGGAGCAGGGCATGCTGGGTAAGAGCCCGGGAGCCCTGGGCAGCCTGGGTCAGGCCCAGCTCCGCCCTTGCTGGCTGCGTGACCTTGGGCAAGTTGCTTAACCACTTTTCTCCCCTTTTCTTTCTTTTTTTGGGGATGTGGGTACCGGGGATTGAACTCAGGGGCACTTGACCACTGAGCCACATCCCAGCCCGATTTGTATTTTGTTTAGACACAGGGTCTCCCTGACTGGCTTAGCCCCTCACTGGTTGCTCAGGCTGGCTTTGAACTCGCCATCCTCCTGCCTCAGCCTCCCGAGCCCCTGGGATTCGGTGTGCACCATCAACCACCTGCCCGGCTTCCCTTCCCTTTGTAATAAGATGTGGACAGTGGCAGCCCCGCCCACAGGGCCCCCGGGGATCAGATGTGCAGGAGGGAGGGAGGACCCCAGCCTGGCCCTGCCTGGCACCGGAGCTGTGGGCCCATCAGACCTGGAAATAGTGGCTCGGTGGCTTTTGCTTCTCAAATTCCTAGAAACAGATTTGAGTCGCCCAACCTTTGAGATGCCCAGAGCCAGGCTGTCCGCCAGTCATGGGTGGCCGCTGGACTAAGCGGCAGGTCTGCGCTACGAGGTGGGCATGGACCAGGTCTCTGACATCTGAACAGAAGATGCAGGTCTCTTTCTGTTTTTTTGGAGGTGCTGGGGACTGAACCCAGGGCCTTGCGAGGCAAGTACTGAGCTATGTCCCCAGCCCCAAGATGCAGGTTTCTTATTGATGACTTTTCTTCTGGTTACATATCAAAACGAGAAGGTGATGGACAGATGGAGTAACTAAAATGTACCCGTGCTCTTCTCTCTGTCACCTCCCACAGGGTCGCCAGAAACTTTAGAATCCAGTGTGTGGCTCACGGTTCACATCTGCTGGCCCTGCGCAGTGGACACCAGCCCTTTGAAGCAGGCACTTCTGTCCCTTCTGTTCCCTGTTATGTCCCCTGGGCACAGAGGGGCTCACTAGTCAGACAAAGCCCAGCCCATACACCTGGGCACACTGGTTAGGTTTTTAAAGACCGCGTGACCAAGGACGCCGTCACTGCTGGTGCGTTTCCCAATCTCCCGTGAAATCTGTCTTTAAAAATGGTCCTGGTCTAGAGAAGCCCTGGGAGATGTGCATCGGGAAGGCCAGCTTCTGCCAGGAGACAGGGCCGAGCAGGGTCCAGAGTCACGGCCCCCAACCCCTTGCTCCTGCTCCCGGCCCTGGGTAGGAGAGAAGGGGGTTCCCCGCTGCTGCCTTTCACAACTCCCGGAAACCCTCTTCTCAAGAAGGCCATTGTGAAAGCAGAGCCGCCCCTGAGCCAGCAGCCTCGGCCGGGAGCCGAGTTCCTCTCCGGAGCACCTGGGTTTGGGTGCTGACTGAAGGATTATGTAAATTTAAAATGTCATTTGTCACACAGCGGTCACAGTACATCCTATGCACACATCTCCCTTGGGACCTTGTGAGATCCTGCCGGGGTCTCAGCAGCCACTGGGGACAAAGCCACCCTCTGGCTCCAAAAGAGCTTCCCATGTTCCCAGGTGGAGATGGGCTGGGGAGGCCCCTGGGCCCCACGGCCCTGCAGGTCAGGGGGCCGGGGCTCCATCTACACAGGGAGGATGGGCACGGCCACCGAGGCATCTCTGCAGACCCTCCACTGGGGCCTCGTCACCAAGGACCCCTAGACAGTAGGCTGAACCCTGTTGGGATCTCAGCTCCCCAGCACCCCTCCCTGACGGTGACCCTGGGCCTGGTGACAGGGGTCTTGACTTCTATATTCCCTGTCCCCCACGAGACACAAGCCCCACGGGGGCAGAGATCTGGCTGAAGGGCTCCCTGCTGGAGCCCGGGTGCCTGGGACCTGGTCAGGGCTGGCCGGGAGGAGGCCACTTGCACAGGTGAGCGGGTGCTACCAGGGCAGATGCGAGAGGGACCGGGGAGCATTTGGAAGTTGCTTTATCCCATGAGAGAATTCATGAAGGCCACTTCTTATGAGGGAGCCGCTGACCCCTATGGAGAGCACCGTGGCCTCTCTAGGGTTGACCACCCTCAGAGGTGGTGCCCAGAGCAAGGCCCCGGGTTCTGCCGCACACTGTCTCTGAGCCATCACGTGAGTGCTCCCTGTGTCCCCTCCGATCCTCAGGTAAGGACCAGGCTCAGGGAGACCTGCTCAAGGGGACCCCACTGACAAACAGCACAGCAGGGCCCCCCATGCCACTGGGTGCCACATGCCTGTAGCCTGGCACGCATGTGGCGCGAGCGCTTGTCCCTCCTGGGCTCCGGGTTCCTTGGGTCAGTCCTGGTAGCTGCGGGTGCTCCAGGACGTAAATGGATGACCTTTTTTTCCGCAGTACCGAGCTTGAACCCAGGAGGGTCTTCTCAGAGCCATAGCCCAGCTCTCCCTTTCCAAAAAGATGATTTATTTTGAGACAGGGTCTCACTAAGCTGCCCGGCTGGCCTGGAGCTCAAGATCCTCCGCCCTCAGCCTCCTGAGTAGCTGCGACCAGCGGTAGCCGCACCCAGGTGATGGAGGAGTCCTCGGGGGAAACATCAGACGCCCGCCCTTCCTGGCATTTGTGGGTAACTGCTCCAGGACCTCTGAGGACACCCTGACCTGAGTTGCTCAAGTCCCTCACATAAGGTCCAGGTGTCCACGCACCTCCATGTGTGACAGAAATGGCCGCGGCACGGCACTGCTCAGAGAAAACCCCAGGGAAGAGCCGGCGCATGGTCAGTAGGAACATTTCTGCCCCGTGGCTGGCGGGATCGGTGGACGTGGAACCCGTGGGGACGGGGCTGTGAGCCTGCTGACTACATGCCAGGCACACGGTCCCCTCCCGCGCTCCACACCCCCAATGGGCAGCCTGCCGGGCCACCTCCAGGCAGGTCATCAGGAACGTGCTCTGTGACAAGTTCCTGGCTGATGTAAGGCGGATGGCCTGCGGACCCCTGGAGACCTGCAGCATTGCCCCTGTGGGGACAGCACCATATCTCTCCCTTTACGGGCGAGCACACGGGGCACGGGAAAGCCAGGCATTAACAGCCACGGTTCCGGCCCAGGACAGAGGATGCAGGCGGGGAGGAGGCAGCAGCCCCATGGGGGGACCCTGCGCAGTGACTCAAGCTTGTCCTGTGGCAGCCTCCGCCCCTCCTGGGAGGGACCTAGAGACTGGCAGAGACCCTGGGCTGTGCCCTCGCGGGGGCCTCAGGGAGCACCCAATGTCAGGCGGAGGGCCTTGCTCTCTGGGACCACGGCCCTTCCCCTGTGCCCCCAGCCACACCCGCGGCCCTTGCAGCCCAGAGGGAGGAGCCGCAATGTGCGCAGGTCACAGGGGCAGAGGGAACAAGCCCAGCCACCCACCCAGGATGGCTGTTTGCTCTTAACTGGGACACAAAGCACTCCACAAACGGGCGTCCGGGGACTTATTTCCAGCGTGGCCAGGAAATTCCACCTAATCAGCTGCCTCATTTCCCTCCCACTGGCTCCGTGGAATTTCCCTTCATTAGGCTTTGCCCCAGCGGGGCCGGGAAGGCGGAGCCGTGGACCCAGCGACCCGGGCTGGCGACAGTCACCGCATGCACCCACGGGCGGAAATTCAGAACGCTCGTTCCCGGAGCCCGTCTCACCTCCAGCCCTCAACAGGCCCCGGCTCAATGGGTCCAGCCAACAGAGGAGGTCAGGATGGCCATGATCCCACGGTGGGGACACCGAGGCCCAGAGAAATCAGGAGGCCTGCTCAGAGCTGGTGACGAGCAGGACCAGGTCGGGGCACAACAAGCGTCACCGGAGCTTATAAAACCCTACGTGACCCGGTTGTGTGTAGGTTTCCATGACTGTTACGTAACCCCCCGCTGACCCGTCCGTCTGGGGGAAAGACGCACACGGCGCGCCCAGTTCCCACAGTGGCCCTGGGGACAGTGGTGATCAGGGTTGTGCTTTCCCGCGGGCTAATCTGATGTTTCTACAGATTCTAGATATTCTGCAAGAACACAGCTGGGAACGGAAAGATGAAGGGAAGGGGAGGGGGCCCGGCTCAGCCAGCGACCCTGTGGAGTTGGCGCCTCCGCCCACGCGCTGCTGCAAGATGGCCCCTGGCACCGGCGCCGGCCGGCCTACCTCTCAGACTGTACCCCGTTCCTGAGCGAGCCCGCGTAGGCCTTCTTCTTGTCCACGGGCATCACGTCCACGTACCCGCCGCTCTCATCCCCGATGACGCCTGCGTGCACAGCTGTCCTGCAGATGCTGGACTTCTGCAAGTACAGGGACGAGGGTCAGGGCCGAGGTGGCGCGTCGAGCACCTGTCGGTGGGGCTGATGTGGCAGGGGGTACCCGGCGCAGCCCGGCCCCTCGGTCTCTGCCGAGAGACCCGGCCTCATCCGCTCATCTGAGTGACAGGCTGGGGCTTGGCGCAGCAAGGCCAGGGCTGACCCCAGTGCCACAAAACAACAAGAAAGGGCACACTCTGCCTCACATGTTCAGCAAGTGACTTTCTGAGCCTGGATGTGCCAGGTGCCATCCCCGGCATGGGGAGGGGAGGGGGGTCGGCAGGGAACAAATGAAGACCCCGCCTCAGGGAGCTGGGGGAGGCAGAGAGGGTCCAGGAGCAAGAGCACCTCAGCCCCAGAGGCTGCGACTCACGGCCGGGTGGAGGCCGTTCTGAACTGTCCTCAGGGAGACCCAGGACATCTGCCCAGAGCCCCCAGGAGGCCCAGCAGGCTCCAGCCGAGTGGGGTGGAGGTGGCCTTTGAAAGCAGGCCAGGCCACTGCTCAGGGCTCACGCTCCTGGCGGATCTCTGCCCTCAGGGGCCAGCAACTGAGCAGCAGCCCAAGAGAGATCCGAGACCGGCTTGCAGGGACTGGGATGTGGGCAGATGGTCCCTTCCTGCCCGTCTTCCTGCCACCAGCCTCTCCCCCTCCAGGCATCTGCAGAGAGACAGGCTCCGCTCCCCCCTCCGGGCCTGACGCACAGCAGCACCTGAACGCTCACTGACCCCCCCACGACCCCCTGGCCCCCCCGGCACAGCTGAGCGTCCAGTGACCTGCGTCCACCCAGAGCCTCTTCCCTCCAGGGGGCAGGCCAGCATGGAAGCTCTGGGGGCACCTGCGGAGGGGCCTGCCCTGAGCGTCTCCAGCCCCGGCACAGTGAGCTGGGGGCCCCAGGAGGCAGCTCTTATCATCACGGGTCCTTCCTGATGGACAGGCAGCCCCAGGGCCAGGGAGCTGAAGGCCAGGCCCAAGTCACTCGGCTGGCAACGGCAGAGCCAGAGACCATATTCCCCTCCACAGGGTGGCCACATGACAAGGAAGACCAGGGCTGAAGGCAGGTGTCTCCTGAGGTGGCATTAGTGAGACAGACACAGGGACCCAAAGTCAAGGGCCACCCCCATGGCCACCCAAGGCTCCAGGATGGGAATCTGCCTCAGGGACCCTCGGATGTGGTCCCCAGCCAGCAGCAGCCACGCCACCTGGGACACCTTAGCAACGAGTCTCTGGCCCCCTGGGCCCACAGGGCGAGTGGCTGCAGAGGGCTGGGGACCTGTCCGAGCAGCGCCCGGGGCTCTGAGGCAGTTGGGGTGGGCACTTCCCAGGCAGCGGGCAGGGAGGACCCAGGGAAACGGAGGTCCAGGAAGCCTCGCCCAGCATCCCACCCTGGGGAGCGTCTGCCAGGCCGGCCGCTCGGCCTGGACCCAGGCTCTGCTCGCTGGGCCACGCCCGGACGCCTCTGCCACGGCTCGACCCAAGGCCAGGGGCAGCGTTTCAGGGGAACGGGCAGGAGTGTGGGCACTGCGAGGCCTGGCAGGGCTGGGGCTGGCGCTCCCAAAATAAATCTCTTAGCTAAACAGACGTTTCCAGAAGCCATCATTTCCCAGAACCCAGCGTGACCTAGAAACTGAGGCCAGAAGCGAGCCGCTGCCACCGAGGCCGCTCCCCTCACCTCTGCCTCCTGACCTTCTTTCCGTTAAGACTCTGAGCCCCTCCATGTATTATGCCTTCAACAAGCCGAGCCATTGCGGCACCGGCCCCGTCAGGAGCCTGAGTGTCAAAGCTCCAACCCGAGGGGACACTTCAGTTCCAGGGGATACTCGGGTTCCGGCCACACGCCCGTCCCCCACGTGACCGGGTGCTGGTGAGCTCAGCGGGTAGAGCAGCCTGGGCCACGTGCTCACTGTCACCTGGGGAAGGCTACCTGAGCTGTTTCCCCCTCTGTAGAATGGGGACAAGGACACCTGCACAGGGTGTTTCAAGGAGCCTAGGGCTGCAGGTGTTGGATACAAAGCAGCTTCACGTCACGGCCGCCCACTGGCCGGGCATCTCTCCCTCGTCTTTGCTGCACACGTTTAGCTGTTTGTTGTTTGCTGTGTACAGATTCGATCTCGTCACTGCACTCTGTCACCACACAGGAACTGCGTTGTCCCACTCGGTATACATGAGTTTAAGCCCACTGAGCCGCCTGGTGACGGGGTAGCTTTGCCCATCCATCTACTTTTGAATCCTCTTAAATCACCATCTCTCTCTCTTTTTAAAATATTTTTAGTTGTAGAGGGGCACCGTCGTTTATTTACTTGTTTCTTGTTTATTCCTTTAGTTTCCCTGACTGCTGGGGACGGAACCCAGAGCCTCACACCCACGGGCGAGCCTCGGCCATGCAGCCCGGCCCTCTCCGCCTCTAACCAGAGCTTGGTCCCAGCACTTAGTTTAACAATTGCCACAGGAACTCGTTCCCTCCCAGGAAGCCTGACTTTTAGAACTCAGTCTTAGCCGAACAGCTTTCAAGAAGGAAAAAAGCTGATTTAAAGAGGAAAGAGAAACAACGAGGAAGAAAGCTTAGTCATGAAGGTCGCCTTGACCTCACAGAGCTGAGTGACTTCACGCTGACAGGAATCGGGGACAATTGAAGGCAGATGGAGGCAAAGATGGGGGGGTGCCCACAAAAACATCAGGGAGCACCGAGGGACGTCAGCTGGACACCAGCATCTGGGCCAGTCATGGGGCCGAGGTCTGGAGGTTCCTGGACTAGACCACCCCAGCTCTGGCCCACTCCACAGAGAGGGCGACTACTTGGCAAGGTCACACAGCCTGTCCGCAAGAGAGCTGGGACCATGTCACAACCAGCCGTGGGCAACGGGGAGCAGCCAAGCTCTAGAGGATTCACTGATTGAAGTCAGGAAGAGCCTCCTTGTTGGAGTCGGGAGGGAGGCCGGAAGGTGCCTCCGGTCACCGCGAGCAGTCGGGTGGGGTCGTGTGTCTTCTCCTGTGGCTCTGAGCTAAGTGTGTGCAGAGCCAGAAGGAAGTACAGCGAGGGTGTGGGCCCTCCTATGACATGGGAAGGCTGAGAGGTCACGGGATGTCGGGGACATGGGGCACATGAGGCCAGAAACCCTGAAACCCACCCGGGTGAGTGAGGCCTGCGTGCCCTTCCACGCATCAGGACGGGGTGGGGACACCTCCGTGGATGCCGAGACGGGACAGTGCTCAGAGAAGTGACAGTCCAGATTTCACTACAGGCCCTGGAGTGAGCTGCCAGGTTCTGGGTCCAGGCCTGGGACCCTGAGGTCATAGCAGGTCCCAAGAGGCCACAGAGGAGGCCAGAGTACTCACATCTGCGTAGATGTTGCTGCCAACCACGGGGGCCCAGTAGGACGGCTCGTCCCTACAGCGCGCAGGACAGCGGACTCTGGAAAAGAAGCCGCATTTGTGGGAAGGGGACAGTCAGCAGAAGGTGGAATCCCCCGAGCTTGCCCTCTGTTTGAATTTCCAGACTCCAGTTTGGGACTGCAAGGGACCCGCTCGCCATCTCGCTCTTTAAGAAAGACAAGGCCTCTCCCAGGGCAGCAGGGGAAGATGCTCCTGCCCTCCTCAAAGGCCGCAGGCAGCTCTTCAAAACCCCACGCAGAGGGGCACGTCCAGACAAGGGAGCTAAAGAGATGAGCGAGGGCGGTGGGGCCATGGGCGGTGGGGTCGTCCCAGGCTTGGGTGTTGCCAGCTCCTACTGTGGGTGCGGATTACCAGCCACAGACCTTTTCCAAGGCCACTTCCCTGCTGGGGGAGGGAGGGCGGAGGCCCCCACCTCAGTGGGTCACAGGGAATCCCAGGCAGCGGGTGCCGATAACCTGAGGGGTCAGTTGCCACAGGCCGACTCATGACAGGGGTTGAAGGGCTGGACTCCTGGTGGTCCCAGAGCTTCCAACCAGGCAACAGCATGAGCTTGACTGAAGGAGAGGTCTTTAGTGTTTATCCAGAACACTCTGCCGCAGGCTGGAGCCCAGGGACCAAGAAACCAAGATGGCGTCCAAGAGCCATCTGGCCCCAAGGTGGCAGGATTCTTGAAGGGAAGAAGGCCAGGCAGAGGACCAACATAGGTCTTGAGGAAGCAGGGAAGGGGCAGGCAGGGAGAGAGTGGGGACTTGAAAAAAAAAATGTAGTCCCATTCGGTCGATATGAGTTTGAATCCACTGCGTCAGCTGGTGACCTGGACGCTGCTGCTCTTTTTATTTGTATTTGGGTGAAACAGCTTTGCCCAGTGAAATGTCAGCTGGACACCAGCATCTGGGCCAGTCATGGGGCCGAGATCTGGAGGTTCCAGCTCTGGCCCACTCCACAGAGAGGGCGACTACTTGGCAAGGTCACACAGTCTGTCCGCAAGAGAGCTGGGACCATGTCACAACCAGCCCTGGGCACCGGGGCTATTTAGGTCTATTTTAAATCATTTTAAAGTCACCATCTCTGTCTCTCTCTTTTTTTTTTAATATTTTTTTTGGTTGTAGACGGACATGATACTTCTATTTCTTCTCCCACTCCTCCTGGAATGGCAGGTCAGAAACTCACATTTTGGGTACTCTCACTCTACCAAGATCTTGTTAGTGTTTGTATTTTTCTGAAATTATTTCCTTCTGCTTCTCTTTAATATTCTATTAAATCTACTAACAGGCATTTTAGGGGCTGGGAACTTGGCACAGTCGTAGAGCATGTGCCCAGCACGTGCGAGGCCCTGGGTCTGATCCTCAGCACCACATAGAATAAATAGAACAAAGGTGTTCACGTACTACTAAAAAGTAAATATTAAAAGAATCAAAAGAAACAAAAGGCACTTTAACATCGAGGGGGACCGACGAGGAGGTGGGGGATAGTGAGAGCCAGGGAAAGGCCCCCAGGGAGGAGCCCAGGCCCCTCGGCCTCTCCTGGACAGGCACCTGCTCAGATCTCTACCTAGTGTCCCTTCCGGAACCCACGTGTCTCCAGGTCCAGTGAGGGCTCTGGGCCGCTCCTCACAGGCCACCAGGGGGCCTGTCTTGTCCCCTGTGCTGGGGACTCCCACTGTGTTCAGCTGTCACAGCTGTCACAGAGCTGTGGCTCTGACGGGGCAGCTGCACTCTGCTCTACCTCCCGAAGGCCGTGCAGTGGCAGCAGGACCAGCGGCTGGTCCAGGAAGCTGGAGCCTGGCTAAGGAGGCCTCGGAGTCCACCAAGGAGCAGGTTTTCCACATCTCGCCTCCAAGGGGCTCTACAGGAACGTGAGACAGACGTGGCCAGGACACCCTTCCCTTCAGGAGAGAGGGTGTCATCCTTTGAGGACCAGCCTTCCCAGAGGACCTGCTCCTCCGGCAGACACGGTGGCCCCTGTGCCAGAGGAACCCACACTGCGACAGCACAGCAGGCTCCAGGGCATGGCCGCAGGGCGCGTCTCAGAAGGGGGCATGGGGAGCCAGAGGCCTGGCCCCAGCACGGTGGCAGAGGGGATGGGCGGCTGCAGGGTGTGGGTGGGCGCTGGAGGAGGCCGCTGCATCCCTCACCTAGTGCTAGTGGCTGTGCCCCACACGTCCCTCAGACACACCAGGTGGTCAACCTGCACTGGCCAGTTTCACTGAGGCCCTTAATAAAAGTCATTTTTAAAAAGCTACTTGTAGACTAGGGTCCTAATTAGAATAAGAGGGACTCCACGTTTATACAAACATGTCAAAATACACGCTACTGTCAGGTGTGACCAGAGGACAGATTTCTAAAAATGCAAAAAAAAAAAAAAGCTACTTCTACTTCTAGAATAATCTGCCCAAACTAGACCAGGCCAAGAACAAAGAGCGCTAAGATAACCAAAGGGGTCAGAGGACAAGCAGCTTCCAGGGTTTCTGCACTGACCTAAGAGAGAACGGCAAGTGGCGCTCGAGGGAGATGGTCATTTACCCAGGAACAGGATTCCCTCCCCGAGTCAGTGCCACCTTGAGGGGACACTTCCACGTTCCTGTCTAGGGCACCATAGCAAGGATCTTTTGGTGGCCTGGACAGGAAGCTTAGCAGCGTCCCCACCGAGAACAGTGGCTAAGAGCAAGGGCTGGAGGACAATGACATCACCCATTCCGGGCACAACCGCCTGGCGTCTTCCTCAACCCCGTGTAGACGAAGCCAGATGCCAGGGAGGCCCCAGAGAAGGGCCTGAGCCCCGAGCCCCCGCCCCCCCCCGCCCCCCCATAGTGGTCACCCCGGGCCTCACCTCGGGCAGTGGGAGGCCGGCTTTTCAAACGGGCAGAGCTGAGCCACGGTGGTGTAGCAGTCCACGTCCTGCACTGTGGGGCAGAGGGAAAGGTCAGGTCCCCACGGGGGTGGGTGGGCAGTGCTGTCTCCTTCAGGCCATCTCTTGGGAGAGGACAGCTCTGACACTAGCCTCCTGGGGTCCCTGACCGCCGGCCTCCCCAGGCCAGGGCTGGACAACTTCTTTCTTAAAGGCTCAGAGTGTGGACATTTTTGCTGTGGCCTAATGTCACATCAAGACTGCTGGACGCTGCTGGAGCAGCAGGTCACCATTGGTGACGTGTGAGTGAGGGGCCTGGCCGGGGACTAATGAGGCTCCATCCAAGATCAGGAGGCAGACAGACCCGGCCACAGGCCAGTTTGCCAGCCCGGCCCCGTCTGTCATTTGGACGGGTCATGGGTTTCTGCAGCTGCCCAACAAAGGAACTGGCTCCGTACCACAGGGACTTCTATTCCGTGGGATGCTGGGGCACGGGGTGGGGTGGGGTCATTAAAATTGGGTTTAGAAGACTATTTACAGGCATGGAAATGCATTCCCGAGCCACAATTATTAAAGGAAAAATCAATTTGTAAGCTAATCCCTTTTAAATTTTAAAAGTTACCGATGTATACGCTTTTGAAATACAGGAAAAATAACCTGGGACATCACCCAAGGATGTGGTTACCACTAACCAGTAGAATTTAGGTCAAATTAGCTTTTTAAAAACATTTTAAAGGCTCCACGGTATCTTTAATTGGGTGGATACACAAACATCGTTTCTGTCGTAAGGAAAGCTCTGTGACAACGTTTTTATAAAGGCAACTAACAATTCTTGCCTCTGGGGAAAATGACAAGAGTTGCTTTTCTAAAGGACGAGAGGGGTGAGCAAGTGAGCAGCCCCAGGCACCAGCACTCCTGTGACGTTCAACAGGACAGCCCAGACCTGCTTCTGACTCTGCCGTCAAGGGCCAGTTTCGAGTCCAGTTATGTTGAGAAGCCAATCAAAGAGAGGACCTCTCAGGGGCCTCTGGAAATGACCCTCCTGACGCTGGGACAAAGGTGCTGGCGGGCGTGACAGAGGGGAGGGCAGTGACCCCAGGAGTAAAGCTGGCAGGGGGCAGAGGTCACCCACGTGCAGTCCCCCTAAGTGACCGCGGCTCACCTGTCACTTTGGACACCATGAATGAGCTGGAGGGCTTGTATTTGCTGGAAGAGAGAACATCGGGTCAGGGAGCGGAACATGCCTCGGGGCTCATCCTCCCAGTTCGGCCTTCCCAAGTTCCGGCTCTCAGAATGTTCTAGAGCAGGGCCACTTAACCTTTTTATATCAAGACTCCTCTGGAAACCCAGTGAGACCTACAGACTCTCAGACAACGGTTTTAAGATGTGAAGATACATTCCAAACATCACAAAGAAGGTGGTTGGTACTATGTGATGACTGAATACTGTGCTTCTTCGTTAATGCACAGCCGAGCGGGGTCAGGGATGGACCCTCTAGTGCCCGTTGTCCCAGGGTAACCACTGGAGGGACAGTGCTTCAGACGTCTGCAGCGACGGGTTCTACCAGCAGGGACGTCACCTCCCAGGGGTGCTGCATGGAGGCTGTGCCCAACATCAGGAAGGACACACTCCACTGCAGGTGGGCGCCGGTGGGGCGGGCGCTGTGATTCACCCCGCGAGGTGGGTGGCAGGCCTGCCCAGCCCAGGTAGGAGCCAGAGGCACCCTCGGAACAGGAAAGACCGTTTGAAGGAGCCCCAGGCACAGACACAACAGTTACCTCAAAGACTCCACGCCGTGTTTCTGAGACTTGACGAAGAAGGGTACCTGCCCGTTCCTGGTGATGTCCACCAGGCCTCCTTTGTCGTCGAGGACTCCGGAGTGGAGGGCGGCCCGGCATATGCTGGACGACTGGAGGGGGCGGGGAGAAGCCACAAGTACAGTCTGAATTAATCTTTGTTAGAAATACCCAAGAGGTTTGTCCTTAAAACCCTGAAAGCCAAAACTCCGAGCCAAGGCTCTCCCCACGCCTGACCGTCCCCTCTCCATAACCAGGTCTTTGTTCCTGGGCTTGCTTATCTGGAAGAACCCATCCCAGTCGCTTTACCAGCTCAGGACGGTGACAAGAGCCCTTTCTCCCCACTCAGCGGAGCATGCTAACTCTGGGTCTGACGCGGAGACAGGCCCCGTGAGGACCAGCCCCCGTCCCCACAGGTGGCTCTGACAGGCTGGGAGTCCCCGAGCCCTGATCAGTTCCAGACCCTCCAGGTGTGACCCAGGGGTGGAAAGGAAGCCCTCTGCTGTGAAGCCACCACCTCTTTAAAAACACGTGGCAGCGTCCACCGGAACTGCCCACAGCAACACTGACCACACTTACGCTTTCATAGAACACGGACCCGAAGATCTTTGCCTTGTGGCTCAGGCAGCCTCCTGGGCACTGGTACCTGAAGAAAGAAATGGCGTTCAGAGGGCGCCTCGCCGATGAGGCTGCCGGCCACCTGAGTGCTCTTCCTTCAAGAGCTCCGTTATCACATCTAGAGAAGCGTCGCCCAGGGAGACTCCGCGGCTCTCACGGCTCACCAGGGCCCGGGTGGGCTCACAGTCACACACCGTGGTCTGGATGACGATCAAATGCTTAGGGAGACGGGTCACAGGAGAAAGACCGGTGACTTCACACGCACCAGAAGCCCTGACTGTCCCCAAGGACGTGCAGGTGATGAGGGCCGTTTTCTGGCTGTCGCTCACCAGGGCACTTGGTCAGGGGAACCTCAGAGAAGCTGCTGTGTTCGTGACCCCCAGACCCGCCAAGAGACTCCCGGGCGTGGGGCCACGCCTGTGATCCCAGCACCCCAGAGGCTAAGGCAGGGGCATGCTGGTTTGGGGCCAGCCTGGGCAACTTAAGGAGACCCTGTCTCAGAAAAAGCGGGCAGGGGGCCCAGGACGTGTAGCTCAGCGGTGGACCCTGCCTGGCCCAGGGAGGCCTGGGTCCTTCCTGGGACCACACAAGCGCAGTACGCCTCCACGTCCACTCCATGGGCCCCGGAATTTCCCTCCAAGTCCACATCCCAAGCAACAAGTCACACGGTCAGCCCCACACCCAGGCCAGCTGTCACCATGGAGACGGGGAGAAGCCGCAGGTGACCTGAAATGGCCCAACATGGTTTGTGTAGCCGAATGCCAGCGTGTTCTGCAGCCACTCACAGGGAAGTGCTTGAGGGATATTTCTGGACTTTGGAAAATTCTGAGGGTCCATGGGACGCAGCCGCTCCTGCTGACCACGTGCTGCCAGGAAGCTGCATGGAAAGTCCTGCTGGGCTCCGGCTGCCCTGCCCCCGGCACAGAGAGGTGGACGGAGCCTGACAAACACCTGGGCCAGCGAGACCTCCTGTTTCTCACCTGGATGACACGTCGGCCGTGTGACATGTGGCCTGTCTGCAGCTGGGCAGCGCTCGTTAACCAACAGCCCAATCACCTGCAACTCGGGCACCTGCTGAATGTCCAGCCTTGACCAGCTGAACAGACACAGCGGATACAGGGAGCGCCACGGACACCGAGTGCCTCGAGTGCCCTGAGGTGCTGTGAAGCCACCTCATTCCAACCGCACCCCACCCCTGCTGCGTTAGAAAGTCTGCCCAGTCACGTTCCCAGCTAAGTGACCAAGCCTCCCGATTGTCCTGGGTCTCCCAGGACCTTTCCTACTAAAACCAGGAAAAGTCCCTGGCAAACTGGGACCCGCTGATCAGCTGCTCTGGGGCTGTGGGGCCAGGAACCCACTCATTTCCCAGGGGCGTGGTGGAGAGTGCCCCGGTGAAGGGCTTTGCTCAGTGGTTGCATTAGGGCCACAGGCCACTCTTGTGTTCTCAAGTCCCCTCTGCTCGGCCCCCGCCCCAGCCGGGCACTTACCCGCTTTCGGCTAAGACAAGTGAACCTCTGCAGGCCCTAAGCGGCTTATCCGCGTGCAGCTGGAAGACCCTCCTGGTCCTGGCTCCAGAGGGTCGGGGTTAGGGTGACCCACCAGGCTCTCGGGTTTGAGGACCATGGTGCCATTTAGGGTTCACAACACCAGCCGCAGGTCAGAATTCCCCAGGGAGCCTGGGAAACGCTCTGAGAACCCAAAGGCCCTTGAGAGGCTGAGCCCTCTCAGGCAAAGTCAGCGTCACGGGCAGCGGCCTCTGGGACGAGTCCCTTCTGAAAGTCCCCTGGGAGATCCTGGTGGTGCGGGTGCCAGGTTCCTCTGGCAGGGACAGCTTGTTACATACTTAGACACTGAGAGCCGGCCCTAACACGGCCTGGAAACCCGGGCACGGAGCACATTCGTCCCTCAGGGACCACACAGGCTCAGGCTGCCGTCGCCCTCTTGAGAGCCGCTTTGCCTGCACACCGCCATCTGCTGTCCCCAGGCTGCATGGGGTCTCAGTTCATGACCCCAGGATGCAGCTCCTGGTGTGCAGGGTGTGAGCTCCCCAACCTGGACCCTCAAAGGGAGTAAACACCTGGGCGGGAGACCCAGCTCCGTCACCCCCACATCTGCTGTTCTCACCTGGGGTGGTGTCACCCCTCAGGGACATTTGCAGTCCCTGGAGACATTTGGTGGTCACCTCTTGGGCAGCTTGCTACTGGCAGTTCTGGGTAGAGGCCAGGGAACTGTCGGCCCCACCAGGAAGACCAAGCCGTCCCCAGTGCCAGGAGAGCGCAGCCCGGGCCCTGCCTGTGTCGACAGAGGAGCAGCCCCAGGAGCCAAGCTCTCGGGCACTGGGGGAAGTCAGAGAAAAGGCCGGGTGCCATGGCCAGGGCACGCCTGACCCGGGCCTGCTCCTGGCTCGCCGGGCCCAGCCTTAGAGCTGTAGGGAATTGGGCGCGGAGTGAGGTGTCCCCAGAGCTCCCGTGTCCATGCAGGGGTGGAAGGAGGGGAAATGGCAGGACTGAGAGCTGGGACCTGTCAGCCCACCCAGTGTGACTGGACTGTCTGGACGGTCACTTCAGCAGGCAGGTGTGGCTGAGAAGGTGGTCACTGGGGTGGGCCCTGGAGGGGAGAATCTGCCTGCAGCCCGTTCCCTTCCCCTGCTTGCTGGCTGCCCGGGGTGGACGGCACTCCTCCCCCATGCCCTTCCTCGGACCCCAAGCGATGGGGAGGCTGACCGTGGACTGACCCTCTACACTGTGAGCCACAACCAACGGCTCCTCCTCTGAGCTGTTCTTATCAGGCATGTGGTCACAGTGACTCCAAGTTGACCAACAGCCAGTGTCCACGAGTTTCCACGCACCCGGCCCGGGTGCAATGAGCCCATCTGTGAGGACCAGGGGCTCTGAGGGGCAGGTCAGCCAGACTCACCTGTTGCACGTAGACCCCTTGCACTTGTCCTTCATCTTGGTGTCACAGCCGATGACCTGGGCTAGGAGAGAAACGGGGAGGTATCTGTCACAGCAAGAAGCCAGGGGGGTGAGTGCGAGCTAGAAGGCCTCCCTGCGGGTCATTCTGGAACATTCTGGAGCCAAGCCATACAAGAGAAGAGCAATGCCTGGCAGCTGTGACCTCACAGGGGCTCAGTCCCAGACCTGTTGCTTGTCACTGTGGTGTGACCCTGGGTGTCGCTCACCCTCTGAGGTCCCAGTTCCACACGGGGATAATCATGGCACCCACTTGAAAGGCCCTGTGGGCACTAAAGGGTGAGGAGGTGTGGCCCGGAGGCAGCCTGGGACCACCGGTGCCCCGCAGCCCCGCCAGGTTTTGGTGGCAGAACCCACAAGGACAGGGTCCTTGTCCCAGCCCAGGTGCCGGACGTGGCCGCCTCCCCATGGCTGTGCTGAGCTCCCGTGGCCTGGTTTACAGGGACGCGTCAGGGTCCAGAGTGGGGTGCCTGGAGAGGCCCTGGCCATATCATGATTCCATATGATTAAAACTGCCACCACTTCGGAGAGACAAGGGACCAGCGTCTGGTCAAAATGAGCTGCAGAACAGTCACCTGCCGGGAGAGGCTTGAAGGCAGGGGAGGAGAGAAGGATGGATGGGGCCAGGAGGACAGAGGTGCTGGGAAAATGGGAAGGGTCTCCAGGGCAAGCAGGGTCAGGTGCCCTCACAGTGAGTCCAGCTTTGTGTTTCTTGGCCCTTGGGGGGAAACGAGCCACAGCACTCGCCCGGGGCCATCCTGGCCGAGGAAGTGCCCAGCCCTCAGCCAGGCCGTCCCTGGGGGCCAAGCTCTAGCCAAGCCCAAAGCTCCGGGGTGCTCAGCCAGAGGGCCAGAGTGAGCGGGGGACACTGTTGGGCTTCCTGGTCCTGGGAGAAGCACTTGGCCTCCCGCCCATCAGGGATACTGGGGGCGCTTCATGGTGGTCTAGAGTGGGGACACTGGGCGGTCCCATCACAGCCAATAACCCCCAGGACTGCCCCGCGCTGGGCATGGTCTCCCCACTCCATGGAGGAGCACAGAGCCAGAAAAAGCAAAGGGTCACCTGGCCCAGAGCTGGAACCCTGCAACGGGGTGGCGGAAGGTGCCCCTGGACGTGGTACCCGAGCCCCTGGACGTGGTACGTGCTGCATTCCCCTTGAGAGACCAGCTGCCCCAGGAGGGACCTATCTCATCCAGGTCTCCTAGGAAGGACCTGGGAAGGTCTACTCTGGCCAGCCGGGCACCCCTTCCTGCCGCCTGCCCCCTGCGGGCCCTGCCCAGCTCCCCTCAGGTCACCCAGGTGGCTTGGTGAGCAGGAGGCAGGGGACCACAACTCACTCATGTATTTGACCGCGGGGGTTTTCTTGGGCTTCGTGGGTCTGACCACCCTCGGCTGGACCCAGACGTGCTTCTCGTCAGGGACAGGGGCCGTTTCCACCTCGTTCATCTCGTCTGTCTCGGGTTTCTGGACGTAGGTCTCCTCTTGTCGGTGGCGAGGGGGAGAGCACACACTGGGAGTCAGCAAAAGGACTTGGGGGAGGCAATTTGAAAACGAAACTTGTGGGGGGTCAGTGCCTCAGAAGTCATTTCAGCAGCAGAGAGAAGGTTCCATGGGGGACAGACCCAGCCGCCGGCACTCTACCAGCCAGGAGCTGGGCTCTTCCCACCACCCACGATTGCCATGGACCCGAGGGCAGGGGGGAGGCCTGTCCAACCAGAGCTGTTGTCCATCTGCCGCCCACGACAGCTATCCAAGAAGGCAGCTTCAAGGAGTTTCCCTGGTCACTGACCCAAAGCCCTTGCTGTCCCTGAGGCCCCTCTGCCCTTTCATTGGGGGAGGGGTCACAGACCCAGGTTGATGCTCTGGGACCCCAGCTGCACCTCCGGCCAGCCACCTGGGCCCTCTGTGCCCTGGGGAGTGACTGTGTCACAGCTTCGGGCTCATCACACACGACCGTCCAAAGACCCTGACTCCGCTCTCCGGTCCCAATTCTTCCCCACAAAGGGCACGTGTGTCACATTTCTCCAACCATAACCACGACCCCCAAGTTCTAAAATCTTTTAGTTAAATAAACAAGTTGCACTTATTACATATCAGTCCACTTTCATCTTCGTCTTGATGGACAGTCCTGAGCTGCTGGCCACCAGGACACCAAGCTAAGTCCAGCCAAAGCCAAGAAGTGAGAGGCAGCCCGTGGCCCCAGGACCCGATCGAGGGTGAGCAGATGTGCGCTCTGCCGGGGCCCTTTCCTCCGCCATCCACAGCCTGCACCTCCTGTCCTCCGGGACTTGGGGTCCCCTGCCTCCCAGGCTCCTCAAGTGAAAGGGACAATACAGACGCTCCTCAGCTTACAAGGTGGTCACCCCCCGAGAAGTACTTAAAACGTGAACTGCCACGGCCCAGCATGGAGAGCGCTGGCCACGCGTCTCAGCCTGGAGAAGATCAAGACGCAGAGTTCTAAGTCGGGTTTCCACGGAGCGCATGCGGCTTCCATGCCAGCAAGGTCAAGAGGCCGCCAGTCCAGCCACCCTGCCGGAGGCCTTCGCAGGGTGTTGGGTGAGAGAACTGAAGGAGGAGTGAAGCCCCTCGCAGGCCTCCTGCCTTCCAACCCACGAGCTCTCTGCCAGAGGGCAGAGCAGGGTTTCTGTGCACACAATCCAAAGGTCTAGCAGCTGAGCACCCTCAAGCGCCGTTCCAGGCCCGGCCTCCACGCTGTTCCTGGCTAACTCACTGCCCACCACCCCACCCAGCCAGCACTCCAGAGGAGCATGGGTGGGGGAGCCAGGAGGAAAGGGGGGCCCAATCCTTTCTTATATTCTGCTGGGTTCACCCTCGGCCGCCTGCTGCCCAGGCCACGCCAACCAGCGCCCGCACTAGGAGCCACTCAAGGAAGCTCACCAAGGGGGGACTGTCACCCAAAACAGAAGAAGGCCTGGCCACCCAGTCAAGGACGCCCAAGGAAGGGACCGTCGGGCGCCCGTGCAGGGCGCTGGAGGAGGAGCTCCCCAGACATTGCTGGCGAACACGGCCGGCACACGGGCCCCTCCTGTCCCCTGCGCCCGTCAATGTGGCTATTCAGAGCTGCCCTTTACTGAGGCCAGAGCTTCTCGGCAGTGAGCTGGGTTTCTTCCACTGGCCTTCGGGATTTTACACCTCATAATCGTGGCTTTATTTAGCAGGATATAGCCTGGTGGGGCGTCCAAAGCGTTTGAGGGTGACCATTGCAGGGCCGGGCAGACAGGTCCTCCCTCAGACGCACACAGGAAAAGGGGCTGCTCCCCGGGCCGCTGCAGCTGGGCACATCCCAATTAGGATCCCTGTGAGGACCCACATGGGGCTGGGGAAATTCCTGCCCCGTCCACTTCAAGGTCACTGGTCCCAAGATGGCGCTCCAGGCTGGGAGTCCTGGGGCCCAGAACGTCACTTAGATCCCTTGCAGACTCTGCCTGGCCCCGCGGTTGTAACGGAGCACAGAGCTCACGTGACCCCAGGCAGCATGGGTCCCGGCATCCCCCCCTTCCCCTCGTTCCCTTAGAGACACCATCAGCCCCACCACAGGAGACTGGGCTCAGAGAGGGGAAGCAGCCTTCCCAAGCTCACACAGCTGGGAAGTGGCCGGCAGGCATCCAGCCCCGCTCCCCGACCTCCCGTCCCACACGGGGGGCTGGAGGGAAGCCAGCTTCTCTTTTCTCTCCTTATCCTTAAGCCCCCATATCTCCATTACGGGTCAGGGCCCTGCCCGGCACCCGCGATGCGCACTTATTAAGTAGCTTATGCAGGTAAGCGGCTCTCAGGGGACTTTGCATGGCTGGCCGAGGAGACGGGATGCCTGCCAAGAGGAGTTGGGCGTTTTCCACCAAAAATAAAGAAATATGTACACGGGGCATCGTTTCGTGGGTAAACTGGCATCTAAGGTCTCTGTGTGCGTCTGTCCTTTGAAAGTGAGTCTCTGTGGAAACTGGGGGAATATTTAACCAAAAACCATGCAGGACACACATGCCACGTGCCCCGGCGGCCCTGAGTGCCCGGCAGTTCTAGCAGGGCAGGGCTCACGGGGAGCTGGGGTCATGAGCACATGGGGCAGGTGCACTGCGGCTCCCAGGAGGAGGCCACCCCAGCAGGAGGCCACCCCAGCGGTTTCTCAGGAACAGCTGCAGCAGGGTGCACAGCCAGGGGCTGGAGGGAGGGGCTCCTCAGAGCAGACTGCAGGCAGGCTGGTCCCTCCTCCCCACAGGGAACAGTCAGCTGTACACAGCTGCTGGGCAGCAGAGTGCCCGGGTCCCTGCAACCTCCCTCTAACCCTCCTCTTCTCCCTGCCAGAGCCCCCGACCGACCCCAGGTCTCCCTGCCAAGAGGGCTACTCCCGCCCGCACACCTCCCCTGACGCAGAGCCACCTGCCCTCCTGCACGGCCCACGGTCACTGCTGACGGTGCCGCACGAGCCTCAGCGGCCAGGGCCCATTTGGCCCTTCCTGGGACATGGCCCCTGGAAGCCGAGGGAAGGGCAGGGTCGGCAGTGGGTGGCCATGCACAGCAGCAGAGGACGTGGGGACACCGCAGGCCCGGCAGACGCGCACAGGAACAGCGGAAGGGCTCGGGCCCTGGTGCCCCAGCTTCGGCCGCGGGAGGAGAGAGGTTCGGGGGCGAGCAGGACCCCCAAGTGGGGCTCTGGGGCCTTGAGTAGGGTCTGGTTCCCTGCTTGGTTCAAGCCGTCTGTGACTGGGGTCAGGAGGTCCCTGTCACTCGGTGGCTGTCCCGTGCTCCTACCTCGGTAGCACAGGTTGTTTCTGCAGCTGCCTCCGTAGCTGGGCGGGCACTCGGAGCAGGGCCGGCCGCTCTTGTAGGGGGCTTCTCCGATCCAGTTCCCCCTGGAAGAGACCAGGAACACCGTCAGGAGGGGCCTCGGGGCCTGGAGATGAGACTCTTCCAGACCCCCCGGGGACCCCGAACACAGTCCCACCAAGTCGGGGAGGAGGGTGTGTGCCAGGGACAGGCAGCCACCCAGGTCCTCCAGGGCAGTCTAGAGAATTCCGAAACCCCACAGAACCCGGCAGCTGAGACCCTTCCACCCAGCACCTGGTTCTGCCTCCTCAGCCCTGAGTGAAGCCATGGGGCCTGTTGGGACAGCAGGTGTGTGCGAGCACAAGTGTGTGTATGGGTGTATGTGGACATGTCCACGCTCGTCCCCAGGATCCGTGCATTGAAGCCCTACACCCATGTGGCCTGCATCTCGAGATGGGCTGCTCAGGAGGGAAGGACGCTGCAGAGGCCATCGGGTGGGTCCTGGTGCACCCGTGAGTGTCCTTCCAGAGACAGCCAGGGGGCTCACGCCCTCGCTGCCCGGGAAGCACACGCCAGGAGGCGGCCAGCCAGGAAGGGGCCTGGCCAGAACCCTGCGGGGCCGGGGCTTGACCTGCAGCTCCTGGGACCCAGCAGGGAGCGAGGAGCCCGCGGTGGAGCTGCCCCTGGCCACAGGCTCCTCGGGCAGCTCATCCTGCACAGGGCTTCCTGAGCAAGGCCGGTGCTGAGGGGGACTCTATCCCGACTGCACCTTCCAGGGTGTTTTTCACATAAAGAAGAGTCGATCCAGTTGCCCCCCCCCCCTCCCCGGGGAGCAGTGACGGTGCTCTGTGGGCTCCTGAGCCTCCTGGCGGTGACGTCACCCTGCCTGACGGCATCTGCAGAGCTTGCTTCCTCCCGGCCTCTGCGATTCCCCGTCACCTACCTCCCAGGGCCACTCCCGACCCAACCCAAGCAGATGAGGTCGTTCCCGTTTCATTCAGTCACTGGGCAAATATGCTGTGAGGGCCCCTCTGCAGCGTGCCCTGCGAGGACAGCGGCCAGCGGAGGGATCAGCTGGCAGACCGCGGCCTCACATGGGGACAGAAGCTCCAGGGTCAGCACATATTTGTGCAGTGAGCAACGGGGTGAATGAATAAGGGCTGAGTGACACGGTGACAGGTCCCCCGAGGAGGGGCCACACTGACGTCCTGTGGTCCCTCAGGCAGGACAACAGAACAAGGATGGCAAGTCGGGTCCAGCGTGAAGCTGGGTGTCCTCGGGTGCCGTCTGGGCACACCTTCAGAGAATAGCAGCAACAGCACCTGGCAGACCCTCTGGCCATCCAAACAGCCACTCCTGCCTCTGTGTGCTCCGGTGGCCCCAGGGCATGACTTGGGCAGCCACCAGGGCAACCTCCTTGACCAATGCCAACCGGGAACCACCTGCCCCTTGTCTCGGATTGGTCTAGTTCTGGAGAAGTGCCCAAGGGGTGCCCTCTCCTACTATCCTACCTCCTTCTGCTTGGGAAGACAGGATGCAGGTGGTCTGCAGCCACCTTGGGGTCACAAGGCAAGGAAGGCACAGACTTAAAGGACTGGAGTCCCCCCGACACTGCTGAGCTGCTAAGATGACCCTAACCCACTCCTAGACCCTCACCCCACTCCTAGACCCTCACTATGAGAAACAGCTGAGAGTCTTCACTGGCGAAGCCAGTTGTAGTGGGGACCCAGCCAGGACCCGCGGCAGACGCTCACTTTGGAGAGTAGTTGCAGACGAGGTAGACGGCGTTCTCCCAGATGTCGCCCCACACGTTCATCCTCCGGCAGGTGTTGACGGCACAGCCGATCTTGGTGGTGGTGGCCCAGACCATCTGCAAAGACAGAGCAGCATCAGGCCCAGGCACAAGGCGCGCCTCCTGGGCTTGGGAGGAGCTGGCTGTGGAGAGCAGAGGGGCGAGGGTCTCCCTGACCCCCGGGGGCGCAGAGCTCTTTAAAAAAACAAATAAAAGATGAAAAAGCCCCACTATTCACACATAGTGAAAATCCCCCAGCAACGTGAAATAGCCTCAGAAGCTTCCGGTGCTGGCCCGGTCCTGGCCTTACTGTGAGCTGGGGACAAAGAGCTCAGTCCCCCAGCGGCACTCTGAGTGGCACCACTGAGGGAGCTCTGAGGCGGTGACAGCACAGAGATGCTCCGGCTCTGGCCTCAGCCTGGGTCTGGGGTGCGGGGCGGCGGTGGTGGCCGGTCCCGAGTTACCTGCGTGTAGTGGGTGCACATGGCCCCCGAGCACCTCTCCGGGCACCAGGGGTTGCACTCGTGGGGGTAGGGGTAGGTGTAGTCCTTCACCTCATCGTACCAGGACTGCACGTGGAAGCCCGGAGAGCGGTACCTGCGGGCAGAGAGGGCGGTTGTGTTCCGGCCACGGCCCATGGCCCAGGAGGACCCAGAGCAGGAGCACTGCCACCAGAGGACGCTGGCGGGGGCGGCTTTGAGGGTGGCCCCCGATTCCACCCTGCACCTGGCAGCGGGGCCTAAACCAGAATTGAGGGTGCCCCCAGGCGTTGTGGTGGCCCTGGGCCCAGTGGGCTCCTGGGCACCCACACACCATCTGTGTGTGCCGGAGACCCTTCTCTGGCCCCGCGGGTCCTTTTGATGTCAACTGTGCATTATTTTCACATACGCTAGGGACCGTACATGCAGCCACGAGCCCCACACTTCAGATTCTATGGCTTAAGAAAGACGGGATTTCAGACCTGAGACCACTTGGAAGTAAGACCTAAGGCGGCCACCCTCAGACGGGACACCACTGGGCAGAGGAGTCTGAAAGTGGGGACCTTCCCGGCTATGGGGGACAGGGCAGAGGGGTCCCTGCTGCCCCTCAGGGAGGAACCCAAGGCCTCATGCTTGTCCCCCTCAGGACCTCGCTGCAGGGTGCCCGAGGACTCGGGGCAGAAGCTCACTGGACAGACGCATCCAGGCGTGTGGGCCTCCCAGGTGGGAGGGAGGGCGAGGCGGGAAGCCAGTGGTCTAGGGCCGCACCCTCACGGCTCCTCCTGCACCCCCACGGGGAGGGCCGGGCACCACCTGTCCCCAAGCTGTCCTCCCCGGGGAACTGGCTCTGTGGCCGCTGCCCACCCACCAGCTTGGCCCTGTTCTCTTTTGCTTTGTTTTAACCAGGAAAGAAAACTGGATGCAAATCCATGGTCATCGTCACCAGCAAGTGTAAACAAAGTGGTTTCAATAAGGCGAAAAAGCTCCGGGGGAGTGGCCATCTGTCAGGGCCATGCGGTCAGCGAGGCAGTTGAGGTCTTGTAACAATTACTGCTTGTACCCAGAGCCAAGGGTCGCGGTCAGCCAGGGCCCAGGAACAGCCTCTCTCGTCTGGTCCTGGGGCCAGCTCGGGGACATTCAGGCTCATAGGAGGAAGCCTCGAACAGAAGGTTCTCCATGTCCACCTCTCGCAGGCCAAGGACACGGGTGCAGTCGTGCTGGGCAGTTTGGAGGGGACGCTCGGCCAGCACAGGGCCACAGGCCGAACAGCCCTTGGGGAAACAAGTGAGGGAGGCGTGTGGAGAAGCCCAGGGCCCCTGACCATCAACCCTGCTCCTCAGTGGCCCCAGAGCTGACGCAGGGGAGCCCCCAAAACCAAACCCAAGACGAAGCTGTAAGAGCAAAGGAGGTGCTGCCGTGCGTGAGCTGCCGCCTCTCCAGGCGGGACCCGAGGCCCGTGAGGTGAAGCAGGAGGCGGGGAAGGTCGTGGACCCCGGGCTCCAGGTGCAGCCAGGGAACGCAGGCGCCACGGAGGGGCCAGAGACCAAGGGCAGAATTCAGGTCTCCTGCCTCAGACCATCCGTGGGGCCAGCAGAAGGCCGCGCTCACAGAAAGCAGCGCCCACTAAAGGAAGCGCTCCTTCTCCCACCACGAACCCCTGGGGCCGTCCTGAGTGCCCAGGTTTGTCACCGACCTAGAGGACAGCATGCTGCCCGCGGCCACAGGAAAGGCCAGGCCACGAAGTGGTTCTGTTCGAAGTGACAGCGAGCCCTGACCTCTGTTGGACAGGCCATCTCAATCCCAGCCCAGCTTGTCAATGACCAGAGCAGGAGGGAAGCAGACCCAGGCCTGGAGAGCGGCCGGTGTGCCCGAGAGAACTGGGGACTCAGGGCCAAGCTGGTCGAGTCTGCTGGTCACCAACACCCGTCCAGCCTGTGGTCAAAGGACATCTTCCCTCTCCCCCTCCCTCTCCCCCTCCCTCCCTCCCTCCCTCCCCCGACTCTGGGCTGAATTCGAGGACAGGCAGTAGTGCCAAGCCTACACGGGGTGGGCACCTGCAGTGGTGGCAGGAGGTAGGGGGACTGTGGCAGCCTGGGGGACCCACAGCACTTACCTGCCCCAGTGCACGGCCAGGTTCTGCCCGATGGACACCAACAAGTTGGCGGGGCCGTGCTCCCAGAGGCACTCCTCCGCCCAGGCCGCCGCTGACCTCTCGAGCTCTTCGTCCCAGGTCTGCAGGGCAGAGGACAGGAGGGGTCAGGGCAGGGAGGGGAACGGCCAGGCTCCCTGCAGGCCGGCTGGTTCCAGGACACCACGGGAAGGGCTCCAGCCTCTGTGACTCTGGGCTCCTAAATCAGCCACTGGCAGGTGGCAGGTGGCTGGACCCCGGGCTCCCTGCTCAGCCTCTACCCTGCTGCGACCTGGGGAAGTCCCTCCCCCCGGCTGGCCTTGGTGTCTGAAATGGGAAAGGTGCTGAGGCCACTCCAGCAGCCTGGGGAAGGGCCTCCCTTGGTCAGGGTGTGCCGGGGGCCTGGCCTTGGGCTTTATCCGCACCCTCCTTGTGGTCCAGTGAGGACATTGACCTCGACACTCTAATGACCAATTTACAGGATAGAAAACCAAGGCGCAGAGAAGCATGGCCACCCACCGGGGTCTCACCAGGGTCCCACAGGGGTCAGGCCTCTGGCCTGCAGGGGCCTGGAGCCTGCTCTCTCCACTGGTGCCATGGTGACCCGAGGCTCTTCCCGGCCCGGAGTCTGAATCACAGGTCACGCATGTGGAGAAGGCCCTGGCTCAGGATGGGTCCTGGTTAAGGATGGTCCTGGTTAAGGATGGTCCTGGCTCAGGATGGGTCCTGGTTAAGGATGGTCCTGGTTAAGGATGGTCCTGGTTAAGGATGGTCCTGGCTCAGGATGGCCCTGGCTCGGGATGGTCCTGGTTAAGGATGGTCCTGGCTCAGGATGGCCCTGGCTCGGGATGGTCCTGGTTAAGGATGGTCCTGGCTCAGGATGGCCCTGGCTCAGGATGGTCCTGGCTCAGGATGGGTCCTGGTTAAGGATGGTCCTGGTTAAGGATGGTCCTGGCTCAGGATGGGTCCTGGTTAAGGATGGTCCTGGTTAAGGATGGTCCTGGTTAAGGATGGTCCTGGCTCAGGATGGGTCCTGGTTAAGGATGGTCCTGGCTCAGGATGGCCCTGGCTCAGGATGGTCCTGGCTCAGGATGGGTCCTGGCTCAGGATGGGTCCTGGTTAAGGCTGAGTCCTGGTTAAGGATGGTCCTGGCTCAGGATGGCCCTGGCTCGGGATGGGTCCTGGTTAAGGATGGTCCTGGTTAAGGATGGTCCTGGTTAAGGATGGTCCTGGCTCAGGATGGCCCTGGCTCGGGATGGGTCCTGGTTAAGGCTGGGTCCTGGTTAAGGCTGGTCCTGGCTCAGGATGGTCCTGGCTCAGGATGGCCCTGGCTCGGGATGGGTCCTGGTTAAGGCTGGGTCCTGGTTAAGGATGGTCCTGGCTCGGGATGGGTCCTGGTTAAGGATGGTCCTGGTTAAGGATGGTCCTGGCTCGGGATGGGTCCTGGTTAAGGCTGGGTCCTGGTTAAGGCTGGGTCCTGGTTAAGGCTGGTCCTGGCTCAGGATGGTCCTGGCTCAGGATGGCCCTGGCTCGGGATGGGTCCTGGTTAAGGCTGGGTCCTGGTTAAGGATGGTCCTGGCTCGGGATGGGTCCTGGTTAAGGATGGTCCTGGTTAAGGATGGTCCTGGCTCAGGATGGGTCCTGGTTAAGGATGGTCCTGGTTAAGGCTGGGTCCTGGTTAAGGATGGCCCTGGCTCGGGATGGGTCCTGGTTAAGGATGGTCCTGGTTAAGGATGGTCCTGGTTAAGGATGGTCCTGGTTAAGGATGGCCCTGGCTCGGGATGGGTCCTGGTTAAGGATGGTCCTGGTTAAGGATGGTCCTGGTTAAGGATGGTCCTGGTTAAGGCTGGTCCTGGCTCAGGATGGTCCTGGCTCAGGATGGGTCCTGGCTCAGGATGGGTCCTGGCTCAGGATGGGTCCTGGCTCAGGATGGGTCCTGGTTAAGGCTGGTCCTGGTTAAGGCTGGTCCTGGCTCAGGATGGTCCTGGCTCAGGATGGGTCCTGGCTCAGGATGGGTCCTGGCTCAGGATGGGTCCTGGTTAAGGATGGGTCCTGGTTAAGGCTGGTCCTGGCTCAGGATGGTCCTGGCTCAGGATGGCCCTGGCTCGGGATGGCCCCGAGCGACCTGTGAACGTGTGTGCGACCGCGCCCAGCCCCCAGTTTCCATCTGCAACACGGGCACGCGGTACCCCCGGCTGAGGGCAGCAGCAGGGAGATGAAGGGTGGAGGTGCCCAGGGATGGGCGTGGCCAGGGGCATGGAAAAGCATTGGGACTCCTGGGATCTTAGACTCTTGGTGGCTCTCATGGGGGACAGGGGACAGAAGCACAGGACTATACTGGGTGTCTGGATGGGATGGGGAGAGTGGCGGGCTACCTTAGGGGCCTGCACACAGTGCCCTGGAGAAGATGGCCAGGTGTGGCACATGTTCACCCCCATCCTAAGGGAAATCAGGAAGGGCTTCTGTCTCCTGTGCTGCCCAGCCCCCTGCACAGCCCACCTGGACAGGGGCCGGCTGGGGTCTGGGCCCAGGCACCGCACACAGGGGAGGCAGCCCACTCGCCCCTGGGCCACAGAGCAGAGGACGCCTTGGGAAAGAGCATCAGGAGTGGAGCCAGGGCCCTGCCCTTCTGCAGAGGGCAGACCCAGAGCCCTCCTGGCTCACCACGCGCCCGCAGCTGCTCCCCCACCGAGTGCCCGACAGGCTCCGGCTCTGGGGAGCAGAGACTGTGCTCTGGCTCTGGCCCCCCAGCCCTCGCACACAGCAGGCGCTCACCTAAGGCCAACCGGCAGAGCCCTGGGGCCTGTTAAGCCAGCTACAGGACCCCCCCAAGTGCCAGCTGCTGTGGAGCTGCCCTAGGCAGTGGCGGGCCTGCTCCCTCCCTGCCTCTCCTGTGTCCCTTTTGGCCAAGATAACTGAGACGGTCCCGTGGGGGGGGGGGGTCCCGCGCGCCTCAGGCAGATGGTGCTGGCATCCTGGGCCACCCCCTTGCCCACCTCCCGTCTCAGAAGTGGACAGTGGGGAAGCTGAGGCTCCTCTCTGGGTGACAGAACCCCACCTCAGTGTCCACTAAGCCCAGACCTCCCCCCAGTGCTGCAGAAGCCCCCCGGGCCTGTGCCCCCACAGCCAGAAGAGGGGCAGTCCACAGCCCTGGGTGCCCTGGGCCAACGGGGAGCCAGCCTGTGGGGCACGCAGTGCCTTCCGCTGCCGGGAGAGGGCGCTAGCTCCCTCAGCCGCCGGGAGCCCCCATCCCACCCCCATACCCTGCAGCGGCCCAGGCCGGGCTCTTTGATCCTGTCCTCTGGGCTCATGGTCAACTCCCCAATAAGCCCCCGCACAGGAGTCCTGTGTCACCCTGCCCCAGAGGGGCCAGACTAAGGCCCCCACACCCGTCTGGGTAGGAGCTCTGCATCTGCTGGGCCGGGTGCCTGGCCCTGGCCTCGCTTGTGCCCAGGAGCGGGGGGGTGGAAGGACACTCCAGCAGGCTGGCCCAGGGCGACCGTGCTCCATGGCCCTGGGGGTCCTCAGCTCTCCACACCAGCACCGTCCCACGGACACGTCACGCCCTGCCCACCCCACCCGAGGGCCAGCTCATGTGAGGGGCCGAGGGGACCTGGCACTGAGGACAGCAGGTGTTCCCAGAGCCTGCCACACCTGGGTGTTCTTCCAACGTCCTGTGAGGAGGCCAAGGCTGGGGCAGTTGACCCACGGGGCACCAAGGAGCCTCAGACCCCACCGGCCTCCACCGCAGCTCAGGAGAGGAGACCCGCGCCCACCCAGCCTGTAGCATCGTCACCAGGTGGGGCCCAGGGACGGTTCTGAAGACACCAATGAGACCTGTCACCTGGGTCAGAGCTGTCACGGGAGGCTGTGGGCCCTTTTGAAGACCACACCTGTGCACAGGGCCCCCCAAAGACGCCCCAGAATGTGGTTCTGGAAAACCAGCCAGGAGTGAGGCTTGCACACTGGAGCTGAGGGACAGATGGCAACGCCACCCAAGCTCACCAGGAAGCCGTCCCATGGGTTCAGGAGGGAGAACCTCAATGGCTTTCTGTTACTCTTGGCAAAGGCCAGGATCTAGGAAGCAGGCTACAGGACAGGAGAGGCACAGGGAGGCTGAGACATCTGGCCATAGTCACACAGCAGAGCTGGGGCCCAAATCCCGCAGGCTGGCTCCTGGTGAGCTCCCACCTGCAGTCACCATGCCCAGCTGGTGGCACCTGCCCTGGCATCCAGCCAGGGTCCCAGCAAGGGTGGGGAGGAGTCTGTACCCAACTATACCCACAGTTTTATGTATTTTCAACCTAAAACAGCTCACACAAGCTGCCTAGCACATTGGAATTTGAAAGAGCGCCCATACTCTCCCCCAAATTAGCACAAGCCTTTGAAATGAATGGCTGCACAACGTTCTTGTTGCAGACTCCTAACACATTTCCAAAACTCAGCCTCGTCCCGTGGCCCTGACCGGCCAGCAGCCCTCACTGTAGGTGTGCAGCGCAGGTGTGAGGGGGCAGCAGGCACGTGCTCCTCTCCAACCAGGAGGCCACACCGTCAGCAAGGGACAGTCGGCAGCTGGGTCCCAGGGATGGGGGCGGTGGCTCGTATGACGGAGGGGATGGGGTTCCAGAGGGCGGCGCCCGCAGAGCACCCGCTGGGACGCGGGTACACCTCTAGCTGAAGCCGGGAGACAGAGGTCAGTCACTGAGACAGACGAGCGCTCCTTGCAGAAGGGCGTGGTGCGAGGGCTGCGTCCGGACGGGAGCCAAGGCGGCCCCCAAGCAGGAGAAGGCAGGGAGCAGTCCCAGGGTGGGGTTCAGGACGGGGGGAAGGCGCTGGGAGGCGTCAGCCCCCACCCAGGGCTGGGCGGCCTGGTGAGCGAGGTGGACGGCACAGGACGCGCAGAGGGTGGCCGTGCCGAGAGAGGCCGGTGCCAGCAGGGGCTGGCGGCGGGCGGCAGGGCTGGGGTGTGCTGCTGACTTCAGCTGGACCTGGGCTCAAACCCGGGCTCTGGTCTCCAGCCTCTGCCTCCTGATCTTGGGCTGGAACGGCAGCCGCCCTACCTCAGGTCAGAAATGGGGTGTCAGGGGAGCAGCGTTGGAGGCGGGTGGTTCACGGTTTTCTGTGGGGTCCACTAGGCCTGAAGGCCCCACACGGCAGTGGCTGGCCACGGTGGCTGAGTCCTTAGCCAGGCGGCGGCAGGTCACAGCTCAAAGCCACGCACGGGGGAGCTGCCAGGTGTGGGGGTTCTCTGGTCTGGGCAGCGCGGCCTCAGGCCGGAGAACGCACAGTGGGCCCTTCCACCAACCTGGGGGTGGGGGTGAGGGTAGGACTGGAATGAGGACCCGCTGCCAAGTGTGGGGTCCTCCAGGTCTGACGGGACCTCCAGGCCCTTCCCACCGTCGCACGCCCGGCAGACAGCCCTTCCTCGAGGACTCGGCCCCCTCGTACTCGCAGACGGAGCCAGAGGACGGGCAGCAACCAAGCGGGCATCGTCGCCCCGGTACGTGCGGGCCTTTCACAGGTCCTCCAGCTGACCGTCACAGGAGCAAGGGAGTGGGATTCTCAAAGTGGAAACTGAGGCTCCGGCTGACCAAGGAGATGTCAGGCCCATGAGGGCTGCAGAGCTAGGACTGGGACCCCTGTGTCCAGGCCTCGGTCCTCCCCAGGCTGCCCCGGGAGGCCTGGTGGATGGGTCAGTAGGGCTGGCTGAACCTGGAGGAGGAGTCCCAGGGAGGAGGCAGCCAGAGTGCCAAGGACAGAGCCGGGGACGCTCTCTTGCCAGAGGACACCCTGGGCCTGCCACCGTCCACCAGCTGGTAGGCAACCAAGATGGCAGCCCAGCCTCCCGCCGTTGGCGCCAGCCTCTGTGGCTGCCGCCCGCGCTCACCATGTACTCCATGTTGGAGGCCGGGGGGTGCACCTGGCCCCGCAGCTTGTTGTGAAGCATGAGGATCTCCTCTCGGTCTGTCCTGGGGATGGCCCTCCGGGCGCGGGAGTGCGGCTCCGTCTGCTGGTATCTGCTGAGCAGGCTCTCCAGGTGGGTGACGTTGGGCAGGAAGAAGCCTTGGGCTCCGCAGACCAGCAGGGCCAGCCCCAGGGAGGCGAGGCCACTCGCGACACCACTCATGGTTCTGCCCCTGCAGCAGCAACTTGGTGACAGGACAGCCTGGGCCTGGTGCAGAGCTGGTGTCAGGTGCCCTGGAAGGAAGCAAGGGGGGGAGGAGCCGGTCAGCTCTGGGCAGCCGGCTCGGGCGGCGAGTGCAGCAGCCTGGGCCTCTCCTGCTGGCAGACGCGGACACGAGGCTCAGGGAGGGCGACCAGCCTGCCCGCTGATAGGCAGAGGTGGAGCCGGGACCCAGCCCAGGTCTTCCAGCAAGATGCGCGACTGGACTCCCCCCAGGATGGCCCGGGCAGTTTCTCCGGGCCCAAGTTCTCCGTCACTGTATTTTCTGACCCAGATCAGCATTTCCATCCACTGAGGACCCGCGTGGGCCTAAGGTGTGAATCAAGCTCTGTCTCTGCCCTCAGAAGGACCTGCAGAGTCATGTCATCTCACCAAGGGACACACCAGGAGCAGACATTAGCAGCCACTCCCCAGCAGCCTCGGTTTAGCGCAGAGTGGGCACACCTCAGGAGGCCCCTGGGGCCCAAGGGTCCTGCCGTCGCTGCCTCCCGCTGGCTCCACCATGGCTTGGCCACACACGTGACAGGTGCCCCAAGCCCAGCAAGGACTTGGCCACAGGCTGCAAAGTGACCTTTACCTGCTGACTTGGTCCTCAGGAAAAGCAGCGGTGGAGAGCGGGCAGGACCACCAAGGGAGGACTCTACCCACTCGTCCTTGTCCCTGCGGGGCAGACCCACAGCTACCACTCCAATGTGCCCTCAAAGGTCCATGTGCCGGGAACCCTGTCCCCCGTTGTCACATGGGTGGCGTTTGGAGTGGAGCTTAGGACTGGAGGAGATCATGAGGTGGCCCCTTTGATGACCTTAGTGGCTTTACAAGAAGGGGAAGAGAGACCTGAGCGACCACCTTGCTCTGTCACACAGAGCAACATGGCTGTCTCTGCGCCATGTCCTGGTGCAGCCTGAGGCCCTCGCCAGATCCTCACAGGCTCCTGGACGTCCAGCCTCCAGAGCCATTAGCCAAATCAACTTCAACTTCCGGCCTTTACAGGTCACCTGGTCTTGGACATTCTGTGGGAGCAACAGAACGGGCTTCCAAAGCCCCTGCAGCCCCCAGGCAGGCGGTCTCCTCCTCCAGCTCCTGCTGATGCAGACCTGGTGCACGCACCCTGGTCGCCGAGTCAGCGATTCATGCGGGTAACTAACCAACCGCCACTTCAGGACAGTCACCAGTCACGGCCACCTCCAGACAGGTCCGGGTTAATCCTCCAGGTCTCTCAGTTGCTAGGGCAGCAGCGAGACCGAGAGGACAGGAGGAAGACATGGCCAGGCTCCCAGACCCTCTGGGCTCATAGGGTGCTGTGTCCCCACGAGTGCTCGTGACAGCCAGCACACGCCGAGGAGCCCCAGGTCCCCTCAGGCGGATGCGCCCCCTCAGAGTCCCTAACTTTTGCTACCCCTGTCCCTCACATCAAGGTCAGAATGTCCTTGAGAATTTTGCTGTACCATCTGGTTCTTTCAGAAAACCCATCATAAGCATCTATCCAGGTGGGCCATTAATGTCATTTTCAAACACTGTGACAACCCAGGAGGCCCATGTATTAGGACCCACTTACCATGAGAAGGCAGAGGCCTCTGGTGGCAGCAAGGCTGCCCAAGTCCACCCTCGTCAGCCTCTGGCAGGGAGGCTCTGTGGACCTGGAACTTCCCAGCAGGCCCCTTGGCCCTGTCCCCTGGCAGCCCACAGTCTCCCTCCATGAAGGACCATGCTACTGACCCGAGAGGCAAGAGAGGATGGACAGAGTGCAAGGTTACTCCCAGGGGAGTCCGGGGCCACCTAGTGGACTGCACCCAGCACTTGTGCTAGGCCTGAGGAGGGAGAGGACGCGGTCCCTGGCCACAAGGAGCTCAGGTTGGGCTGGGGAGGGAAGCGAGATGGGCATCCCAGGACCCAAGCCCTTGGCACCAGAGGGCAGCATGGGGGCAGCGAGCTGTGGGAACGCGGCCGTTCCCATCTTCAGCCCTGGAAGCCCTCCAGGGCCTGGCGAGCAAAAATAGCCTGCGCCCAGGGAGAGGCTCGGCGCTCTGTAGTGCTGGACGCGCTGCCCTCCTCCCCCAGGGGCGACCTCCTGGGGCAGAGCCAGGACGGCTGGGGAGGACCTCTGCATGCCGGCTGGCCTGGGGGCATCCAAGCCTGGGGAGTTCTCCCGCCAGCCTCTCTCGGTTGGTCCCACGACCATATTTGCACAATTCCAGCTGCAGGCCAGGGGCCACGCCTACCCGCGGAGGAACACTGACGCTCGCTCTGGGAGGATGTGGGGGGCGGGAGCTGGCACCGCTGGGGTCCACCCCGCGTCATACCACGCACAATTTGCTCTGCTCTGTGCTCCGGGAGTGGGAGGCGCAGGGCTCCAAAGGCACACAGCATAAAGCCTCACGTGACTCCACTCTGCCCAACCAGAGGAGGACCTGGTCTGATTTCAGTAGGTCCGACTCTGGGGCTGTCAGCAGGGCGAGTCGGGGTGGGGGCCTATGATGTGGTGGAGCAATATGCAGCCAGCAAAAGGAACGACTACACACTGGCATTAATAAAAGAAAATGCAACAGGCAGTTCACAAAGCAGAACATTACGCCAATGATGCCATTTGTGTGAATTTTAAAATAGGTGGCTGGGCACGTAGCTCAGAGGCAGAGTGCTTGCCTAGCACGCAGGAGGCCCTGGGTTCAATCCCTAGCACAGCAAAAAAACAAACAAACAAACAAAAACCCACTGTGTATATGCATATACCAAATTCTGTTATAATTTATGTATATATTACATATACACATTTGTGTGTCTATATGTATGCATGTGGTGTGTGTGTGTGTGTGTGTATGTGAGAGAGAGAGACCCAAGACTGAATTCAGGGGTGACTTCTGGACACAGGACAGGAACTAGGGGAAACAAGGCTTATCTTTACCTTTAACATACATTTCTATTTTTCAAATCTCAAGCAAATATGGCAAAATGTCAGTGCACGCTCACGTGCGGGGAGCCGGCCAAGGGCACAGTGCGGCACTGTGATGAGCCCAGGGCGGCCCGGGTGGTGGCCTTTCTGTCCTTGGGGCATGCCCATTTCTCTTGGTTTGAAGTTATTCCTCAACAAAATACAACAAGACGCCAAGGCATGAAACACGGCACGTGCTTTCCAAATGCACCCTTCCAGCACATTCTGAGCAGGTGCTGCCCTGCGAAAGAGCTCCCCTGGCCCTTCCTTCAGAAGCTGAGGGACTTCCCTGGCCCACAGGCCACCTCCTCAAGGTTCCAAGGGGAGTTATAAAGCCTGGGGTGGAGCAGGAGAGATGGCGGCCACCAGACATGGTGCGACCCTCGCAGCAGAAGAGGAAAGCAGAGGGGGACCGAGGCCTCTCCACGTCCTTCCTGGCCCAGGGGCAGCCCTGCCTTGGCCGAGGCACTCAGGGCACTGTGCAGGTGGCACGCCAGTACCACAGGGTCGGGAAGCAGCTTGGCCTGGCCAGCGCCCCCGTCTGTGCCAGGGAGGGGACAAGGTCCAGTCTGGATGGCTCCTGGGTTCTGGCTGCAGGGAGTGCTGAAGATTTTAAGTAGAAAAGAAAGGTCAGCAGGGGCAACGATGCTCCAGAGCCCAGGGCCGCGCTTGGCATGTGGAAACTCGCCGTGTTCACAGTCTCAAGTGCACCCCGGATCCGCGTGCTGCGGTCTAACCCCGGGGCCTCAGAATGCGACTGTATTTGGAGATAAAGCCTTCGAAGAGGCAATGGAGTTAAAGTGTCCTTAGGGTGGACCTGATCCAAGACGACTGGAGAGGAGGACACAGATGCGGGCAGAGGAATGGCCCTGCCAGGGCACAAGGGAGACCATGTCGTCTGCAAGCCAGGAGAGGACTCAGGAGGAACCAGCCCTGCCCACACCTCAACCCTGGACTTGGGGCTCCCAGACCCGAGGAAATGAAGGCCACTGGTCTACGTTGAGGGGCCACACAGCCCTCGCAGACTAGGACACATCAGATAATGAAGGGATGGGGTCCAGATAGCCCCCAGCTGCTGAATGGAAAGTGGCGGGAGAGAGGCAGAGAAATTCAGAGGCTGAGACAAGATCTCAGAGGTACCTGTCTGTCAGAGCAACAGGTGCGTGGGCAAGTGGCCAGTCCACGGGGCTCTCTGCCCACAACCGAGCCTCGCTGCCCAGACAGCTCAGCTGGAGGGGGGCCGAGGCTCTCCTGCCTTTTTCCTAGAGAAAATTGAGAAACTCACACTTTTTCCAACTGAGACACTCAACAGGCTGAGCTCCTGCCAGGGAGACTCAGGGCAAAGGGCTTCTGCCAGGGAGACCACCCCCACCAGTCCACATCATGTCCCCTCTGGGTCACCCAGAGGTTTGGCTTCGTGACTCCCATTCTACAGGTGTGGAGGCCAAGTCTGCGGGCTTAGGAAGCTGCCCAGGGTCATCCCACCGGCAGGCAGAACCTGGCACTGGGGCAGCAGGCAGCTCCGTCCAACCTCAGAGTCCACCCGTGCCCTCTGCTCAGTGCCCTCCTGCTCTCCCAGGAGGGGGCTTCCCTGCCACCAGAAAATCCCAAGCCCCCCACACACAGGGCGACTGAGTCTTGCCCTTCACTCTTCTCTGCCCCTTGGGAAGGCGGCTGGGCTCTGGGGAGCAGAGACACTGCCCTCCCAGGTCAAATGACAACTGTGTCGATGAGAAGGCCCCCACTGCCACCTCTCAGGGAGACTTTACATCATGGCCACACTTCACCAGACACGTCCCTCACCAGTGTGGGCACCCACGCAGCCCCATCTGTGATGCGCGCTGACTCTGGTGCCGAGCTGATCTGACCCCTGCCGTCGGGCTGCTGAGGCATCCTGGAGACGCTCGCCTGGGGCGGCCTCGGGGCTCAGCTAGGCCTGGCATCCCCGGGCACTGCCAAACTCCAGCACCATTTCCAGAGAAGCCTCAACTTGTCCCCCTGGTGGCTTCCCAATAACTGGACGTGTCCACCGAGGACTGTGGCTCAAGACAGCCGACGGGCCCTCTGGAAGATTTTGTCCTCTGTTGC